AAATAAGTAAACTCTTAAAGTATGTTAGGGAATCCGTGTTATGAAGAAATAAAAAAAGGGGGGGTTAATGGGAATAAGGGCTGCTGGGGCTGGTAGGGCAAAAGACAAAGCTCATATTTTTTAAATAGCTCAATGAAAGATATTTAAATAATGGGTTGAAGGAGTAAGAGAAACAGTCTTGCAGATAACTGGGGAAGAGAATTCCAAACAAAGGCAACAACAGGTTCAGTGACCCTGTGGCAGAAGAAGCATGCTTGGCACATTTCAGATATTTCAAGGAGTCCAGTGTAGCTGGAATGAACAAGAGGTAGGGTAAAAGGAGATGAGATTAGAATTTTAACAGGAAACCAGATTATGTATGACTTTGTAGGTTATTGTAAATTCTTGGCTTTTACTCTGAGATAGAAAACGATTGGAAATTTTTCAGGAGAGAAGGGTCATTCTGACTGCTGTGTTGAAAATAAAGAGGTAGCATGGATACATGGAACAGACTGGCAGATCTCAGAGACGAGGAGGGAAGGGGGACCGGAAGAGACTAGCCAAAGAATATGTATGCTTAGTCCATGGACACAGACAACAATGTGGTGAAGGTGGGGGGTGGGGAGCTGGGTAGAGGGGAACAAAGGGAGAGAACATGGGGGGACATCTGTAAGAGTGTCAACATTATAAAAAAAGAAAATGAAGAGTTAATACATATGAACAGAATTAAACAAAACGACTTTGTGTGTTCTCTCTGGGTTTTTCTAGGGAAGCAACTAATAGGATCTGGATCTCCTGTCTCCCCAAGGGAGGGCCTGCATCTGAATTCAGCTTGCCACGGTACTTTGTTCCAACTAAAGCTTTCCATGTGAGTCAAGGTACCCAGGTAGCACGTCAGGTCTTTTAGTTTGCACCTAAACCAAGACTGCCTGGTTGCCTGGTAGTTGCCCCACTGACAAGGTTCTTCTCATGTTTGCCCTATGAAAAGGGAGAGCAGCCAGGGGATGGGATTCCTCTCCTGTAATGCCAACTGCACTGCACATCATTCTCTGGCCCCAGTACGTGTCTCCTTGGGATGATGGGAGATTGGGCTAACCTGTGTTTTTTCTTGGCTTTGTAAGTTTTCCCTTTTCCCCGAAGAAAACCTACCCCTTGACCTAGTGGTTCTCAAACTTTAGTGTGTCTCATAATTACTTGGTGGGCTTGTTAAAACAGATTTCTGGGCCCCACTTCCAGAATTTCTGGTTCAGTGAGTCTGGAGTGGGGTCTGGGAATCTGCATTTCTAGCACGTCCCCAGATGATGCTGGTAGTGTGGTCAGGGGACCACAGAGAACCTGTGCTAATTCATATAGTGTGTCTGTGAGAGAAATCAGCTGTTTGGGCTACCACAAAGAGTCCCATTTGCATGACCTTCACCTGGTGTAACCATTATCCTTTCTTACGCCTTATTTGCCTTTATAGTTTTACCACATAAGTAGGAATCCTTAACCAACAGATTTGGTTTTTATTTTAAAGGTTTTGTTTTTTAAAGTTATGGAAACGTCTGTTTGATGTTTCTTTGCCTCTGTATCTATTTTTGTTCAACAGTTTATAATGTTCTTTATATTCCACAAATGAGTGAGATCATGTGGTATTTATCTTTCACTGACTGGGGGAAGGTTGGGGAGCGGTAAGAGATCAACCGAAGGACTTGTATGCATGCATATAAGCACAACCAATGGACTCAAGACACTGGGGTGTGTGTGTGTGTGTGTGTGTGTGTGTGTGTGCAAGTGTCGGGGGGGGTTAGGGGAGGCCGGGGGGAGGTCAATGGGGGGGGAAGGGAGACATATGTACTACTATTTGTAATACCTTAAATAATAAAATAAAAATAAATAAAAATTTAAAAAGCTAAAAAAAAATAAAGTTATGGAACCGGCATTTTTCCTTAAGGTTTTTTTATGGCTTGCCCCCCCCCCCCCGCCCACATCCAGGTTATAGCTATAATTAATTCAGTTTTATTGTTGTATACTATTCTTTTGTTTGAATATACCTATTGATTGACCTTTGGCTTCTTACCAGGTTTTTGCTAGGAAGATGCTATGAACAGCTACTTCTTTACCCCATCATAGCATCACCTTCTCTTTATGAAAGGACCCAGTCTAGAGGGAACCCTCCGTCCCCTAGACCTTCCCCCAAATCCTATCAACCCCTTATTGAGACACCCAGTGGTGTGTGTTCTCCCTTGCTCAATGAGTAATGAACTCAACTTGTTTCACTACAGGTGTCCCTGTGGTCTTTAGCTGAAGGGCATTGAAAAATACTTTTATATATAAAATATATAAATATTTAGTTAATATAAAGTTAAAATATCTTAGTATTCTTAATAGTGCCTTTTGGGGAACACTAGTTCTTAATTTTAGTTCAAGTTTTCAATCTCTTTCTTTACGGTTAGTGCTTTTTATGTCATATTTAAGAAATACTGCCTTGGCCACGTAGCTCAATTGGTTAGAACATCGTCCCGATACACCAAGGTTGTGGGTTTGATCCTCGGTCAGGGCACTTAGACTCAACCAATCAATGTAAATAAGTGGGACAACAAATAGAGGTCTCTCTCTCCCTCCCATCCCCCCTCCCGCTCTCTCCTGCACTTAATTTCTTTCTAAAATCAATCAATCAATAAAAAAGAAATACTCCAAGATCATACAGATATCTATTTTTAAAATTTCAAACTTATGTCTTTAGTTCATCTGAAATTCATTTTTTCTGTGTGATACCATATGCATATAGAGATCCAATCTTGTATTTTCCCACATGGTAATCATTTTTCCTAGCACCAATCTATTCAGTTCCTTTGCTTTTCCCCACATATGCAGAGCCACTTTTGCCATATATTAAGTTTCTATCTATTCATGGGTTAGATTTTAGATTTTTTTAAAAATATATTTTATTGATTTTTTACAGAGAGGAAGGGAGAGGGATAGAGAGTCAGAAACATCGATCAGCTGCCTCCTGCACACTCCCTAACTGGGGATGTGCCCGCAACCAAGGTACATGCCCTTGACCAGAATCGAACCTGGGACCTTTCAGTCCGCAGGCCAACGCTCTATCCACTGAGCCAAACCGACCAGGGCTAGATTTTAGATTTTAAAAAATCTAATAATAAATACAGATTAAGACTTTGAGATTGAAGTTTACAAGTTTCAAGACTTGTAAAAATACTTTTTAGATTAGTACATAAGTCACAAAACAATGTATAAAAATCAACAGCATTTAAATTGGTGTCAGTTGATGTAATGATTCAGTAATTAAACTGATCACGTTTTTTAAAAGATATAATTCAGAGTGTAAAAAGTTTAGTAAGACTATGGTAGTCAGAAGGACAATTTCACTTCAGAGATGTGTATGTATTTAACAAAGTGATTGTTAGTGGATTTTCCTGAAACTCCCAAATGGCACCAAGTATTTTTTTATTATCTTTCATAGATACATTACATCCCTTGTGTTTTTATATAGTGGGAGAATCTAGACTTTGAATTTTATATATTGCCCTGGCTGGGTAGCTCAGTTGGTTAGAGCATCGTTCTGATACCCCAAGGTTTCAGGTTCAGTCTTTGGTCAGCACACATACAGTCAGCAACCAATGAATGCATAAAGAAGTGTGACAACAAATTGATTTTTCTCTCTCCCCTTCTTCTCTCTCTCTCTCTAAAATAAATAAATAAAATAAAACTTTATATAATAGGAATACATAAACTTTGCCTTTGAAGATACAGGAGAGTTTGAAATAAAACGGTAAAAGTAGGAATAGAACGGAAGGGTGGGAGGGAGAGAATGCCAAAAAAATAACATGAAAAAGGAAAACGGATTGATTCATAGATTTCTGCACTTAGGGGGACAAAGGAAAAGAAGTCTAAGGTGGCCCCAGTGTTGAAAGTTACAGAACCTTGAGATGATGACCCACTGACATATTTGAGAAAGGTAGTGAGGGGGTGGCCTGTTTGGGGAAAAAGATGATGTTTTTTTCTCCCCAAGTCTATTGCTTCTAAACGTTCCTCAAGGAATTTTTCAAGACCTTTGAAATCTGTGTTAAGCCTCAAAAGTAAAAAGTTTAAAATCCAAAGCTTTAGATGGCTAATTAAAAAATTTTAGTCAACTTTACTTAATTAGGTAACAAGTGCCTCATTTTCATGTAAATTCGATGTTTTTAACATCAGATCCCAGTAATACTAGTATATAAACCGGACCCACAGAAAGCAGCCCAGGGAGTGAAGAGATCAGGATCTTCCATGTGAGGTTCTGCCGCTGATCTCTGTGGCCAAGGGGGTAAGTGTTGTATAGATCTAGGATTCCAGTATGTCCCATGGCTACATATATGATCCCTGCATTTCCTCCTAGCGCTGCAGTTCTAAGTCTCCCTCCTTAAGCAACAGTAAATGTATCCGTGTGAATTCAACTTATCCTGCGGTTGAGCTGCAGCCAAGCACTTGTCAGGTGAGTCCTGGGATCCTTTCTCCCCAGTTCTCAAACCCTGGAGCGAAACCCACTTTACATGCTTTTGGTGGCCTGGCTGTGGATAGGATTTGAAGGACTCCAATCCTTCCAGGTAAGATCCTCGACCAGGAAATGTCCAAACCAGGAACATCAAAGGGTGCTCCTCTCACAGCCTCCATCAGGACACACCAAAGGCCAGAGCTGCCAAGGCGCGCGGGCCTCGCACCTGCTGCTTGCGGGTCACGCTTTCCACCCCGTAAGCCCACGCTCTTTTATTTCACTTTCAGGCCAGAAGCTCTTTTCCTGCCTAAGCGGGTGTGGGCCCAAGTCTCCGGAGATTCGCTCGGACTTCAGGGAAGAAATGAGACCCTAAGAAGTGGTCTAAGGGCTCCGCCAGGATGCCCAGGCAGCCGGGAGGGGAGTGCGCCGGGGTCGCAGGGGCGCGCCCGGGCCACGCTGGGAACTCTGGGCGCCTTGGCCCCGCCTGACCCGGAAGGGCTTGCGCGTGGTAACCCCGGCTTCCCTAGCAACCGAGCCTCCGTGCGAGTCCCAACCTGCCGCTGCAGCCTCTCACTAGGTCCGCCTCCCGGGATGCCCCTGCAGGTCAGCGAGTACAGCTGGCAGCAGACGGAGACTGCGGTCTTCCTCTCCGTGCCCCTCCGGGGCGTCTGCGTCAGGGACGCGGACGTGTTCTGCACGGAAAACTACCTGAAGGTAGGAGCGCGAGTGCGCCCGCCGGCGCCCGGGGGTGTGCCCGAAGCTCGGCGAGTGCGCCCCTGTGCGCGCGCATCGGGCGCATCCTTGCACATGGCCTCCCTAAAAGTTAGTACCATTGAAACCAGCAACGAAGGAATTCCACACAGGTGACACCAGATGCTATCGAGTCAGAGATTATTTTTATGCTCAGCTCCCCACATATGCCTGGCGAATCTTTCACGACCTGGAATAAATTTATAGCATTTACTTAAAAAAATGATTGTGGCTCAGTGGATAGAGCTTCGGCCTGCGGACTGAAGGGTCCCAGGTTCGATTCCAGTCAAGGGCATGTACCTTGGTTGCAGGCACATTCCCAGTAGGGGGCGAGCAGGAGGCAGCTGATCGATGTCTCGCTCTCATCAATGTTCCTAACCCTCTAACCCTCTCCTCCTCTGTAAAAAAAATCAATAAAGTATTTTTAAAAAGAAAAATGATTGTGGTCTCTATCACCTATTTCTTAATGGCTGTGTTTTTAATTTGTGGAACTAAATTAACTTTCGTTTCCTCCCCTTCTGAATAGGTCAACTTTGCTCCATTTTTATTTGAGGTGTTTCTCTATGCTCCCATTGACGATGAGAGCAGCAAAGCTAAGATTGGGAATGACACTATTGTTTTCACCTTACATAAAAAAGAAGCCGTCATGTGGGAGGCCCTTTCTGTGTCAGGTGGTAAGTTCTTTATTGAAAGATGTTTTTATATTTTATACCTTTGAAAAAATTTGTCTTTTGAAACAACTATGTTGCTCTTCTAGAAAAAAAAATAGGCACACTATCATGAATTAAATGAGATAGTGCTTCAGCTGCCACTTAAATAACCTAAAAATTGAGTGATTCAAAACTTAATAATTACTCATTAATAATTAAGCACATTAATAATTACTCTTGCCCTGGCCTATTTTGCTCAGTGGTTAGAGCATCGGCCTGCAGACTGAAGGGTCCCAGGTGGATTCCCAGTCAAGGGCAGGTACCTCGGTGGCAGGCTCGGTAGGGTCCTGATGTGTGTGGGAGGCAACCAGTCCATGTGTCTCTCCCCCTCCCTTCCATTCTCTCTAAAAAAAAAAAAAAAAATCAATGGAAAAAATGTCCTCCAGTGAGGATTAACCACAAAATAATAATAATGATAATAAAATAATAACTCTTAAGCAGAAAATGTGGGCTTGCATCTTCAGTGGATAAGGCCTTCCGGATATGACCTTTATTGAGCACTTATTTTGTACCAGGCATTAACACATCTGCTAAACCTCATAACAACCTATCACTTGGGTACACCTCACTGCCCGCCTTTTTTAAAGGTGCGGCTACTGTGGCACTGAGGGTTTAGTAGTTGACAAAGGTCACTCAACTAGTAAATGTCAGGTTGACTACACATATTGACCCTGAAATGTGAATTTGATTTTATATGTCACAAAATATTATTATTAAATAATAGGGGTTTTTTTTCCAACTATTTAAAAGTGTAAAAGTTATTCTTTGCTTTTGTGTTGTAGAGAAACAGGCAGCAGGTTGGATTTGGCCATCGTTTGCCAACCTCTGATATAAACTAGTCAAAACAGTCTTGAAATTAACTTACATAACAAATAATGAACATTGACTTTTACTTCAGAAATCAGATTACAATTTAGTGAATTTATTTCTCTAACAATCTTTTTTTTACATGAAGTATTGTGGAACTCCAGTGTATACTCCAAGCCTATTTCCTTCATTATTCAAAACATATTTGTTTTGTTTTTTTCCTTCTTGATACACTTTTCATTTCTTTTAGATGTGGAACATTTTATTTGAAAAGTTGATGTTCTTTTCATTATTTCTGCCCCTGTAGCTGATCCAATTGTCTGCCTCCTGATACTAAGCAGGAGCAGAGTTGGAGAGAGGCTCCAGACCTAATTCTAGCCCTAAGTTCCAGCCAAGACCTTGCATGAATAAAAATTATATACCTTTTACTTACCTCTAACTGAAATTTAACATTCCCTCCAATTGTGAATGTAGATAACAAACAGCAGTACTATCAACAAAAATCACAAATATGTTCATATCACAGGTACCTGTCTTTTATACTCATTTCTTTGAAGTTATAGTATTAGACTTGTTGCTATATATTATTTAATGCATTAATAAAGAAGCATGCAATAGTATATCAGATGTATTTTTTTAATATATATTTTATTGATTTTTTTACAGAGAGGAAGGGAGAGGAATAGAGAGTCAGAAACATCGATGAGAGAGAAACATCGATCAGCTGCCTCCTGCACATCTCCTACTGGGGATGTGCCCGCAACCCAGGTACATGCCCTTGACCGGAATCGAACCTGGGACCCCTTAGTCCGCAGGCTGACGCTCTACCCACTGAGCCAAACCGGTTTCGGCTCAGATGTATTTTTTAATATTTGTAAATGTTTTAATGTAATTAGCTTTCTTTGTAATCCTGTGTTTTCTATTTCATGCATTTAAAAACATTATGGCCCGTCCGGCATGGCTCAGTGGTTGAACATCGACCTATGAACCAGGACGTCATGGTTTGATTCCTGGTCAGGGCACATGCCCAGGTTGGGGGCTCAATCCCCAGTGTGTGGTGTGCAGGAGGCAGCTGATCAATGATTCTCTCATCATTGATGTTTCTATCTCTCCCTCTCCATTCCTCTCTGAAATCAATAAAAATATATATTTTTAAAAAGCATTATGAGGGGTCTATAAGGCTTTACTAGTAACTATTCTGCCAAAGGATCTGCCTCACCAAAAAGGTTAGGAACCCCTGCCTAGGACCCACTTCATCCCCGCTCCTCCCTCCACTCTACTCTCCCTCAGGTCACCCTCTCCCCTCAAGTTTCTTCTCCTGTTTTTTTTGCCCCTCAAAGTCTAGCTCCTTTCCTGATCCCACTTCCCCTAAGGCAGTGGCCGGCAAACTGCGGCTCTAGCGCAGTTTGCCAGCCACTGCCCTAAGGTGATTTACCCCCTCCCTAATGGGTTGCAGCCTGTGTGTAAAACTCAAAAAAATAATTGTGAATGGTAAAATTCTATATATAACAAGTCGTGTTACTTTATAATTTTTCCTAGGGCTGGCTCTGTACTCATCATATGTGTAAATTACCTTTTATGTTTGTGAAGGTGATTGATCATATCAGATAGTCTCAACTCATTTGTTTTCTAGACCTCATAGTGCTGATTTATTGTGATCAGGTTTATAAGCAAATAGGTTTCTCAACAGAGAGGAGGATATATGTGTTTCTCCTCAACTTGTCTCCTCCCTCTACCTTTCCTTCTCCCTCTCTGATCCCCTCTCATTCTGCTATCCTTTCCCTCTTGTGCCTCTCTGTTCTCCCTCTCTCCCTCCCCACCCCCCTCATTTTCCCTTTTATCCCCCCCCTCTGTTATTCCTCCTCTCTCTCATTCAAATCCTTCCCCACCCCCTCATTCTGTAGTAATTACTATACAGTTACTTGCTTACCGTTTAATGTTAGCTTCTTGGCCAGTTTAATATTGAGAAACGTTTTCACTTCTCTCTGTGAAGTAGGGTCCAAAAAATATATCATCCCGAGTCATAATCTTAAGCATTTCTTTCCTAAATAAAACAAATTTATCAGAATCCTAATTTAGTGATATTCCTTATGTTTTAGTTGACAAAGAGATGATGCAAAGAATAAGAGAAAAATCTATTTTAAAAGCACAAGAAAGAGCAAAAGAAGCTACTGAAGCAAAAGCTGCAGCAAGGCGGGAAGATCAAAAATATGCACTAAATGTCATGATGAAGGTAAGTTGCAAGTAGAAAAGTCCTCTTATTAAAGAGATGATAATAGACATGTAAGGATAAGTAGTCCTAACCACTATACTTCCTCACCTCTTTGTTCATACTTTGGTCATTGGACTTACTAATAACTAAGTTATATAAGTTATCTACTGCTTACATGTATTCCTGAAAATATTTATGAAAGTTGAGGGTATAAATGTTGAATAATAATAGATTTACTTGTTTCAGTGAGAATTTTCTATTTCCAGGGGAGTCAGAAGTGATAAGGTTTTATGGTATATTTTACCTCTTTCTTAATCTTGGGATAATGAACACAATAATTTAAAGCAAGAAAAACACTAAATATTGACAAATTAACATCTTTTTAACTGTTGAGGATTTCAAGTTAAAGCTTCAATCAGCAATATTTTTTGAGATATAATTCACACACCATACAATTCATCCATTTAAAGCTTACAATTCATTGGTTTTTAGTATGTTTAGAGTTGTGCAGCCATCATCACAATCAATTTTAGAACATTTTCATCACCCCAAAAAGAAACCCCAGCCTAGCTGGTTTGGCTTAGTGGTCAGAGAGTCTGCCTGTGGACTGAAGGGACTTGGGTTCGATTCTGGTCAAGGGCGTGTAACTCTGTTGCAGGCTCTATCGATCCCCAGCCCTGGTTGGGGTGTATGGGGGAGGCAACCAATCAGTGTCTCTCTCACATCGATGTTTCTCTCTGTGTATCTGTCTCTAACCCTCCCTTCCACTCTCTGGAAAAATCAATGGAAAAAATATCCTTGGGTGAGGATTAACATACATACATACATACATACATACATAAATAAGTATTTTTTAGTAACTTGCATAGACTTTAATTGTGGAATCAATCTAGTCTCCCTTGGATATACGGCTGCTGATGTCTATGCTAAGGTTTTTAGTTCATATTTTTTAGACTAACTTCCTTAGAGGGTCTTCCCTTTGTCTGTATAGCTTAATTGTTAGCTAATGATTTGGGCAGAGGTGGTAAAGGCTCCACCCTTTGCCAATTGATGTATGTGTAGGTTTGAGAATACCTTCAAAGTTGGAGCCAGTTCTCATGCCTCCTTGGCTTCATTTTATGCCAGTTTTCCTCAGGTCTTCCCCATAAATACATAGCTTTCTGTTTAGCCAGGATTGTGTGGTGAGTTTATCACAGATTTTCTATAGCTCTCTCATTTATATGATCTTTATGTGAATTTTCTGTCTAGTCAGGCACTTACCCTAACCAGGAACACAACCCCAGACCTCAACTGCAAATTTTCCCTGTTTATTCATTCCCAACCAAATCTACTGCTTTTATCCACCAAAGCCACAGGGTTTGGCTGCTCCACCCTGAAGTGGGTCCACCCTTTTTGCCAACAAAGCTTCTTTTTTTAAATTTTATTTTATTGTTGTTGTTGCTAGCTTCATGTTGGTAACTGCCAGTCTTGTTATTCTAGCTGGAAGTTGGTGGTTGAGAGCAACCTCAGGCAGGAGAGCACAGTCTCCCACTGTTCTTACCTGTAACTTCTGTAGTTTTTCCAAAATAAACACTTGTCAATTTGCAGGCTGTCTTTGGTTAACTTCCAGTGCCTTGAAATGGTTGTTTTTTTGTTGTTTTCCATTGATTTTTATTGATTTTTTGCAGAGAGAAAGGGAGAGGGATAGAGAGTTAGAAACATCGATGAGAGAGAAACATCGACCAGCTGCCTCCTGCACACCCCCTACTGGGGATGTGCCTGCAACCAAGGTACATGCCCTTGACCAGAATTGAACCCGGGACTCCTCAGTCCGCAGGCCGACACTCTATCCATTGAGCCAAACCAGCCAGGGCAAAATGGTTGTTTTTGGTAGATTTGTCCAGTTTTATACTTGACTAGAGGCCTGGTGCACAAAATTCGTGCACTTGGCGGGGGGAGGGGTCCCTCAGCCCAGCCTGTGCCCTCTCGCAGTCCAGGAGTCCTTGGGGGATGTCTGACTGCTGGCTTAGGCCCGCTCCCTGCCTAAGCTGGCAGTCGGACATTCTTAGCGCTGCCACGGAGGTGGGCGAGGCTCCTGCCACTGCCGCTGCGCTTGCCAGTCGTAAGCCTGGCTTCTGGCTGAGCGGCGGTCCCCCTGTGGGAGCGCACTGACCACCAGGGAGCAGCTCCTGCATTGAGCGTCTGCCCCCTAGTGGTCAGTGCGCATTATAGCGACCGGTCATTCTGCTGTTTGGTCTGTTTGCATATTAGCCTTTTATTATATAGGATATTTGTAGGTGGGAACTGCCAGCCTCTTCATGCCTCTGTAAAACTGGAACATTTTCTTTTGCGGATGAATTTTACATTCATCAGAAGTCTAAGAAGTCCTCTTGGTATTTTGATTAGATTTATGTTGACTTTAGAGATTCATTTGCCATTTACATATTTACAATAATGAGATTTCCCTCCAGGAACATGGCATTTATTTCCATTTCTTCAGACTTACTTTATATCCCTAGCAAAATTATTTAACACACATGAGACTTGCTCATCTATATATATAAAAGGCTAATATGCAAAATGTCCCCTCGGGAGTTTGACCAGGAGTTTAATCATTCGCTATGACGTGTGCTGACCACCAGGGGGCGGCGCAGAACATGGCAGGTGGCCAGCAGCAGCAGCGGCGGTACGCTTGAGGGAACAAGGGAAGGAGAGGCAGGGAGGCAGGAGGTGGGGGGAACCGTGCAGTGGCGGCACATGGGTGGGCAGCAAGGGAAGGAGGAGGCAGGGAGGCGAGGAACCTGATAGGCCCTGATCGCTGGCCATTCCTAGGGACCCTACCTGTGCATGAATTTCGTGCACCAGGACTCTAGTATTTCATAAAGCTTATTCTTAGCCTTTTTAAAGCTTTTCTGGCAGTTACTAATGAATGATTTTCCACTGTATTTTTCTTATTGTTTATTGCCAGTTTGTAAGTAAGTTTGTTTTTATGAGTTTGTATGAGTTGATCTTGTAAGTGAATGCCTTGCTGAACTTACTTTCTGGTTGCAATAGTTTGTCAGTTTGTTATTTTGGTTCTTTTAGGTAGTCTATCATATTATTTGCAACTAATGACAGTTCTATCTCCTTGTAATCCATATTTATATTTCTTATTTTAAAAATTCTATTGTATAGGTTACCTCTAGGAAAATAGGAAAATACTAAGGCATACTGGCCTTAGTGATGTTGCTAGTAGTATTTCCAATGCTTCTTCATGAAATTGGACATTGTATGGGTCCTCTTAGCAAGCTAAATTTTTTCTGTTGTTTCAGGTACAACTGATATTTTGTCATGTACTGAGGTCATGTTGTTTTTCCCTTTAGATTTCTTAGTATCATAAATAAGAAACACCCTATTTGATCAAGATGTATTATTTAATACTTTCCTCAGATTAGTGTGCTAATATTTTATTTATGGATTTTTGCATATAGTTTCTAAGTAACATCTATAATAATAAAAACATAATATGCAAATTGACCGGACGACCTTCCGGGCGAAGCCGGGGTTGCGAGGGCCGAGGCAGCCGCCGGGGTTGCAGCAGCCGGGGCTGCGAAGGCCTACTCTTGCACGAATTTTGTCCATCAGGCCTCTAGTTGGTTTATAAAGAATATTGCCTTGATAAACCATTCATTCTAAATTAAAAGAAATACAGACTTTCTCTTCAGGAATTACTCATCCATCTCCTATTAATTAAAGTTGCTGTCTGTAGTAAGCTAATATCCCATACTTTATGGCATCCTTTTTTGAGCAATACAAAGAACTTAAAATTCAGTTTCTTCATGTGTGATGATAGTTTTTCTAGCCTTCTGAGTTTTTCTGTTACTAAACATTCTTCCTTTATGTGGTATATTCCCCATATTACTTTGTTTTTAAAGAAGAGAACTTCAAGGATTGTTTAACATGTCTTTCTTTGTTTCTCTTTGATGTAGATAGTCTCTCTTTTCCTTTTTCGTAGCTTTATGGTATTACCTTCCTCAGGTTTTTCTCTTCTTTCTAGTTTCTTCTGTCACATGCTCTGTGAAGCCTTTCTTGGTCCCTCCTCTTCCCTTTGACTCCCTCAAGAGTTATACAACTTTTTTTTGTTTTTAAGTTAGCTTATTACAAATTAAATTACATATATATAAATATCCCTTAACTACATATTGGCTACAATAACAGAACTTTCCTATTTCTTTTGATTACAAGAATAATCTCCTTTTTGGTAATTAAGACTGTCTTAGCAGTTTTTAAAACTTCAAAATTCAGTCCACTTGCAGAGATTATGAAGAGTGAGGGTGTTCTGACTTTTCACAGACTTTTCCCTTATTCCATGTGTTGGGGAAGAAAGGAAGAAAGGCAAACATATTATTAAACTGGGTGAAGTTGTCATCATCTCCTTTTAGGTGGTGGCTGCCTCTGGCTAACACTGACTGGTCATCATGACCTGTTGTCAGGCACTAAAAGCTGGCTCATGGTTACATGCAGATTCTTCCTGGCCCAACCTATTGGCAGCACTTTGAATACGTAGTAATTAGCATCTTTTGTGCTTAGTTTAGGCCTGAGGTGCAATTCTGGGACTACAGGAAACTCCTGTTCAGTAATCTGTGAAATGTATTTTAAAGTCAGTGCTACACAGTTCAATAGGAAAATAGCCAATCTTCCAAAAGAGGGTTACAGAGCACTTCTTCACGATAGTTTTCAAACCAGTAAGTTAATTCTATGTCTTAAAATAATTCAGCCTCTAGGAAACTTGGTCCCAGCTTGTCATTCTTTTGCTGTGCCAGATGTATTATTTAAATGTATATTAATTTAAATGTAAATTAATGAAACATAGAATTAAAAATCACTTTTTGTTTGGTCTTTTTTATCAATCTTCACCCAAGGATATATTTTCCATTGACTTTTTTTAAAATAAAAGAGTGGAAAGGAGAGAGGGAAGGGGAAGGAGAGAGAGATATTGATGTTAGAGAGATACATCAGTCAGTTGCCTCTCACATGTGTCCCAACCAGGAGATCGAACCTGCAACACAGGTATGTGCCCTTGACCCTACAAGGGCACAATCGCCAAGACCCTTCAGTATTCGGGTCAATGCTCTAACCCAGCCGTGGGCAAACTACGGCCCGTTTGAAATGAATAAAACTAAAAAAAAAAAAAGACCGTACCCTTTTATGTAATGACGTTTACTTTGAATTTATATTAGTTCACACAAACACTCCTCCATCCATGCTTTTGTTCCGGCCCTCCGGTCCAGTTTAAGAACCCATTGTGGCCCTCGAGTCAAAAAGTTTGCCCACCCCTGCTAACCACTGATCACACCGGCCAGGGCCAAACTAGTCACATTTTACATGCTCAATTAGCAACATGTGGTAGCAGCTACTGACTTGGATTGCACAGAACGTTACCATCATTGAAAAAAGTTTTGTCAGACACTGCTTCTCTAGAGAAGAGAGGTATGAATTTTTGTTCTCCAGAGGAGAAAGATGCGAATATTTTTATTTTTTATTTATTTTAATCCTTGTGTGAGGGCATGTTTTTATTTATTTTAGAGAGAGGAAGGTAGAAAGAGAGAAACATTGATGTGAGACAGAAACAACAATTGGTTGCCCCTATATGTGCCCCAACCGGGGATCAACCAGCGATCAGACCTGCAACCTGGGCATGTTACAGGTAACTGAACCTGAGACCCTTCTCTTTCTCTTTCTCCCTCTCCCTTCCTTTCTCTTGAAAATCAATAAAAACATGTCCTTGGGTGAGGGTTTAAAAAAAAGTTTTGGTAATTGTAATTTTTACAGATTGAAGATGAAGAGAGGGAAAAAATAGAACGTATAAAAGAAAATGAACGGATAAAAGCAACTAAAGAATTGGAAGCCTGGAAAAAACATCGAAGTAAAGCTGAAGAACAAAAAATAATTCAAAGAGAAGATAAGTTACACCAACAAGAAAAGCAAATAGAAGAGGGAAAGAAATTAAAACATAAAAGTTTTCCTAGAAATTCGACATCGAGAAATCTTGCCACAAAAGGTACAATAATTACTTTAATATTTTCTGGGAAAGTGAGTCCTGGTGGTGAAGTATATAGGTTGTTGTTGTAATCAATTTACAATATTAGGTCATACTGAGAATAGTATTGCAAAAAAAAAAAAGATTAAGGTGAAATTTATTTTTTTATTTTAGGAAGTAGAAGTTTTTATAAAATGAGCAAGGATTCAGTATTGATTTTGTTTGTGTGCTTTCTTTTGAAATTTATGCAGGTATTGTTAAATATGTATTTAATTCACATCCAAAAAGGCTTGCAGTGGCCTGGCTGGTGTTGTTCAGTAGTTGGGCTTCGACCCATAAAGCAGGAGGTCACAGTTTGATTCCTGGTCAGGGAACATGCTTGGGTTGTGGTCTCTATCCCCAGTGTGGGGCATGCAGGAGGCAGCTGATCACTGATTCTCTTTCATCATTGATGTTTCTATCTCTCTATCCCTCTCCCTTCCTCTCTGAAATCAATATATATATATATATATATATAGCAATATTTAAAAGTATTGGAGTAGACTGTCAGTGCCAGAGACATTCATTTATTCCTTTAGAGATAATAAACTAAGAATTTTGTTAAAAGACTTTTTCCTCACATGACTCAGGGAGATGAATACTACTAAGCAAACTTAATATCAAGCAAACAAGGGTTCTTCTGGACTTGGATCCTGATGTGTTCAAAAATAGTTAAAAGAACATATTTCTTTATTGAAAGCTAAGAGTATGATTTTATCTCAGAATATTAAACTTTGTTTTGTGTATATTTAGCAAATGGAGAATTTTGTAGTAAAATCACTTATGTAATTATCCTATCTAATAAAAGACAAATAGGGTAATTAACCGTACCTCCGATACGCTTCCCATTGGCTAATCAGGACGATATGCAAATTAACTGCCAACCAAGATGGCGGTTAACCGCCAACAAAGATGGCAGCTAATTTGCATACTGCAGGCAGGGCGGGACAGCGCCATCCCGCCTGCCCCGCTGCCATCCGGGCCTCCTACCTGCGACCCGGGTGGTAGGCGGCCTGTATGGGACCCGACCCAGGGCTGGCGGGCGGGACCATAGCGATCCGCCACCAGCCACGCCCACAAACGGCCCTCCCGTGGGGATCCCAGGCTGGCAGCTGCTAATGCACCAATCCGCCACCGGCGATGCCCACAAATGGCCCTCCCGAGGGGATCCGAGGCTGGCAGGTGCTAATGTACCGATCTGTCACCAGCCACGCCCACAAACGGCCCTCCCGCGGGGATCCATGGCTGGCAGGTGCTAATGCACTGATCTGCCAACACGCACACCCGGGCCACCTTTGCCCTGTGCAAACTATGCAGCTGGGAGAGTGGAGTGGAGCCCTTGGGAGCAGGGTGGGAACTGCCCGGGTTTTGCGTCAGGCAGCCCAGAGCAGAGTGCAAACTATGCAGCCAGGAGAGGGGCGAGGGGCCGCTGAGAGCAGGGCGGGAACTTCCCGGGGTTTTCGTCAGGCAGCCCAGAGTGGAGTGCAAACTATCCCGACCGGTAGCTGCTTGCTCATTCACTTACTTGCTCATTCATTCGCTCATTCATTCACTCATTCACTCACTCAGCAAACCCTCTCAGGTCCCTGGCAGGTCCCTGGCACCAGGCCAGGCACTGAAGTTGAAGCAGGATAAGACAGAGCTATGTCCTCAAGATGTTAGCAGCCAGGAGAGGGGCGCCAGGCGCTGGGAGCAGGGCGGGAACTTTCCCGGGGTGGGCTTCAGGCAGCCGGGAGTGGGGTCGGAACTTCTGCCGTGTTGCCATGGCAACGAGGCAGAAGTTCCCGCCCCGTAGCTGCTTGCTCATTAACCTGCTTGCTCGTTCACCTGCTCGCTCATTCATTCACTCATTCACTCACTCATTATTCACTCACTCAGCAAACCCTCTCAGGTCCCTGGCACCAGGCCAGGCACTGAAGGTGAAGCAGGATAAGACAGAGCTATGTCCTCAAGATGTTAGTAACTCAGTAGGGCGAAGCAGGCACATGAACGAGGCAGTTGTATGCACAGATGCACTGTACTGGGTTCGGTGAGGGCTGTAACTAACGCCGACTTTGTTCTCTTGATAAAATGGGGCCTCGGGAGCCAGGCCGCCCCAAGCCTGTAAGCCTGTGCCTAGGCCAGAGTGGCCAGGGTCCCGGAACATGACAGAGGGTGCAGGTCGGGCTGAGGGGTCTGGCCCCACCCCTCACCCTCACCCCCGAGTGCACAAATTTTTGTGCACCGGGCTACTAGTCCTATATAATAAAAGCCTAATATGCAAATTATCCCCTTGGGTGGTCATTCGACTGGGAGACTGGGAGTTTGACCGCTCGCTATGATGTGCACTGACCACCAGGGGGCAGCATGCTGCGACCTCTCATTGGCTACCTGGGGGCAGGGGTGATGGGGACGGAGGTGCAGTGAGAATGTGGGGTGTCCGCCAAGCTCTCTCTCACTCCCCTTGCTATCCTACCCCGGAACACCGGGGCTTGTGTGCGGGGGAAGCCACTGCATTCAGGTGCCGGGCACCCATAAGGAGCCCACCCTGCACCCACGTAGCCTCTTCTGGGTAAGCCGGGCCGCAGCTGCTGGAACTGCAGGGGCCAGTCCGGATCCCCATGGGTTCGCGCAAGGGCCACTATGCGAGGCCGGCCGGGAGGGAGTGCGCTGCCTGCCTGGCTTCCATGTAGTGCCACTGGTCAACCCAGAGGCCCACGCTGCGGTGTCTGGCCGCACTCATTGCACCTCTGTGTGGCGACTCGAGCACTGTGACTCAGGTGGAGGGGGGCGCGTGAGGGCCCAGGGGCGCAGGTGCTGCCCAGGTCCCAGAGGTCAGCTGGGACATCCACACCAGATGCTTGCGCTTCGATTGCTGGCCAGGCCTAGGGATCGTACCTGAGCATGAATTTCTTGCACCGGGCCTCTAGTATTAATTAACATTCATTGGTGATCACACTATGCCAGGTGTCTTTATTGGATGTATCACTCAGTCTTCACAACAATACTTTGTGATAAGTGCTGCTATTCTTATTTTAGATGAAATGTTCAGAAAGAATAAACAAATACCCAATAAGTAAGCCTGTGGGATTTGAACCCAGATCTGTCTGCATCTGAAACCTGTGTTCTTTCTACTCGGTTACATGTCATTTCTACTTCAACAGCGAGGTCTAGCATATTGAAAAGTTGTTTGGAGTATTAAGCAATAATCATTATTGAATTTATATATTTCACTAGAGGCCCGGTGCACAAAAATTTGTGCACTTGGGGGTCCCTCAGCCCAGTCTGTGCCCTCTCGCAGTCTGGGACCCCTCGGGGGATGTCCACCTTCTGGCTTAGACCCGCTCCCCCGGGGATCGGGCCTAAGCTGGCAGTCAGACATCCCTTTGGCAGCCCGGGAGCCCTCGGGGGATGTCCACTTGCCAGCGGGGAGCAGACCTAAGCTGCAGTTGGACATCCTTAGCGCTGCTAAGGAGGCAGAAGAGGCTCCCGCCATCACCCCTGTGCTGGCAGCCATCAGCCTGGCTCGTGGCTGAGCAGAGCTCCCCCTGTGGGAGCGCACTGACCACCAGGGGGCAGCTCCTGCATTGAGCGTCTGCCCCCTGGTGGTCAGTGTGTGTCATAGTGACCAGTCATTCCCAGTCTTTCTGCTGTTAGGGTCAATTCGCATATTACCCTTTTATTATATAGGATAGAGGCCTGGTGCACCGGTGTGGCCAGCCTGAATAAGGGGCTGAGGGCTGTTTTCAGGCTGGCCACGCCCCCTGGTGACCCAAGCTCCCAGCCTCTCCTTTTTTTCTTTTTCTTTTTTTTCCCTGGGATTTATTTATCTTCTATAATTGAAACTTTGTAGTCTTGAGCAGAGCCGAGGGCCGGCCAGGGCAGGTGGGAAGCTTGGCTTTCTCCATCGCCGGGTGCAACCCAAGCCTCCTGCTCACTCCAGCTCTGTGGCTGCCGCCATCTTAGTTGGGTTAATTTGCATACTCACCCCTGATAGGCTTGTGGGTGTGGCTTGTGGGTGTGGCTTGAGTGTAGCAGAGGGACGGTTAATTTACATGTTTCTCTTTTATTATATAGGATTGTGGTTTAATATTTAAATGCAAGTTAACTTCTAAAATATCTCCTTCTTTAATGACATTTCAACAAACTATACCAACTAGAGTATATGAAAACATTTTCTTTCATATTTTAAATACTGCTAAACAAACTGGATGTTTTCAAGTACTATTGAAACCCACCCTAGTGGATAGAACGTTGGCCTGCGGACCGAAGGGTCCCAGGTTCGATTCTGGTCAAGGGCACATATCTTGGTTGCAGGCTCCTTCCCTGCTCGGCCCTGGTGGGGGCACATGCAGGAGGCAACCAATCAATGTGTTTCTCTCACACCTGATATTTCTCTCTGTCTTTCCCTCTGTCTTTCCCTCTCTCTAAAAATCAATGGAAAAATATCCTCGGATGAGTATTAAAAACAAAAAGAAACTAATCAAGTACTATTGGAACCCGAACACACTTTTATAGATAAGAAGTATTCTCAACATTGATCATGCTGATAGTTATACAGTTTAATTCAATTTATGAATATTTTATAAATGATTTTATGTTTATCTTCATATTGAGATTCACTTACATTTTTTTATTTTTTTAAAATTAAATATTTATTGTTTAGATAATTACAGTTGTTCCTCTTTTTCCCCCCATAACTCCCCTCCACCTGGTTGCCACCCCACCCTCTGCCCTTACCCACCCCCCCCACTGTCCTCATCCATAGGTGTACAATTTTTGTCCAGTCTCTTCCTGCACCCCCCAAACCCCTTTCCCCCCGAGAATAGTCAGTGCACTCCCTTTCTATGCCCCTGATTCTATTATATTCACCAGTTTACTCTGTTCATCAGATTATTTATTCACTTGATTTTTAGATTCACTTGTTGATAGATATGTATTTGTTGTTCATAATTTTTATCTTTACCTTTTTCTTCTTCCTCTTCTTAAAGGATACCTTTCAGCATTTCATATAATACTGGTTTGGTGGTGATGAACTCCTTTAGCTTTTTCTTGTCAGTGAAGCTCTTTATCTGACCTTCAATTCTGAATGATAGCTTTGCTGGGTAAAGTAATCTAGGTTGTAGGTTCTTGGTATTCATCACTTTGAATATTTCTTGCCACTCCCTTCTGGCCTGCATAGTTTCTGTTGAGAAATCAGCTGACAGTCATATGGGTACTCCCTTGTAGGTAACTGATTGTTTTTCTCTTGCTACTTTTAAGATTCTCTCTTTGTCTTTTGCTCTTGGCATTTTAATTATGATGTGTCTTGGTGTGGTCCTCTTTGGTTTCCTTTTGTTTGGGGTTCTCTGCCCTTCCTGGACTTGTAAGTCTATTTCTTTCACCATGTAGGGGAAGTTTTCTGTCATTATTTCTTCAAATAGGTTTTCAATATCTTGCTCTCTCTCATCTTCTGGCACCCCTATAATTTGGACGTTGGTATGCTTGAAGTTGTCCCAGAGGCTCCTTACACTATCTTCATATTTTTGGATTCTTTTTGTTTTTCCAGTTGGGTGTTTTTTGCTTCTTCATATTTCAAATCTTTGACTTGATTCTTGCGATCCTCTAGTCTGCTGTTGGAACTTTATATAATACTAGAGGCCCGGTGCACAAAAATTTGTGCACTCGGGGGGGGGGGATGGTCCCTCAGCCCGGCCTGTGCCCTCTCGCAGTCTGGGACCCCTCAGGGGATGACCACCTGCTGGCTTAGGCCTGCTCCCCGGGGGATAGGGCCTAAGCTGGCAATCAGACATCCATCTGGCAGCCTGGCAGCCCTCGGGGGATGTCCACTTGCCAGCGGGGAGCAGACCTAAGCTGCAGTCGGACATCCTTAGCGCTGCTGAGGAGGCAGGAGAGGCTCCCACCACCACCGCTGTACTGGCAGCCATCAGCCTGGCTTGTGGCTGAGCAGAGCTCCCCCATGTGGGAGCGCACTGACCACCAGAGGGCAGCTCCTGCATTGAGCGTCTGCCCCCTGGTGGTCAGTGTGTGTCATAGTGACCAGTCATTCCCAGTCTTTCTGCTGTTAGGGTCAGTTTGCATATTACCCTTTTACTATATAGGATAGAGGCCTGGTGCACGGGTGGGGGCCGGCTTGTTTGCCCTGAAGGGTATCCTGGATCAGGGTGGGGGTCCTGCTGGGGTGCCTGGCCAGCCTGGGTGAGGTGCTGATGGCTGTTTGCAGCTGGTCACACCCCATTCATTGTGGGGGTCCCCACTGGGGTGCCTGGCCAGCCTGGATGAGGGGCTGATGGCTGTTTTCAGGCTGGCCACACCCCCTTTATGGTGGGGGTCCCCACTGGGGTGCCTGGCCAGTCTGAGTGAGGGGCTGAGGGCCGTTTTCAGGCTGGCTGGCAACTGAAGCTCCCAGCCTCTCCTTTTTTCTTTTCTTTTTTTTTATTCTGGGATTTATTTACTTTCTATAATTGAAACTTTGTTGATGTCACTGGAGCTGAGAGCTGGCTCTTGCTCGCTCCAGCTCTGAGGCCATGGCCTGCTGAAAGCAGGTATTTGGGTTTGTTTAGCTTCTATAATTGAAACTTTGTTGCTTTCGGAGCTCAGAGCTGGGCTGCGGCTGGCGGGAACCTTGGCTTCCTCCATCACTGGAGCAAGCAAGCCTCCTGCTCGCTTCAGCTGCGTGGCTTCTGGCCGCCATCTTGGTTGGGTTAGTTTGCATATCGTGCTGATTAGCCAATGGGAGGTGTAGTGAAGGTACAGTCAATTACCACGTTTGTCAATTATTAGATAAGATTCTTTATTTCAGTCAGTGTATGCTTAATTTCTAGTTGGTCCTTTTTCATAACCTCGAGGGTCTCACTAGATTTCCTGAGGGTCTCAATAAATTTATCGGCGGTTTCTAGAAAATTCTTGAAAAACCTTATAAGTGTGGTTTTGAACTCTATATCCAGTAGTTTGCTTTCCTCCATTTCTGTCATTTGTGACCTGTTTCTTTGTCTCCGCATTTTTTATGCTTCCCTGTGTTGATAGAGTGGCTTTGTGTGCTAGGTGTCCTATAGGGCCCAGTGGCTCAGCCTCCCCAATTACCTGAGGTGGACACTCTTGGTGCACCCCTTGTGGGCTGTGTGCACAGTCTTGTTGTAGTTAAGCCTTGATTGTTATAGGTATCACTGGGAGGAATTGACCTCCAGGCCAATTGGCTGTGAGAATCAGCTGTGTCTGCAGTGGGAGAACTTCTGTGCTGGAGACACCCTTCTGGGGCAAGACTTGCTTCAGTGGGGCTTTGGTGCTCACTGAGTCTGCCCCCTGAGTGTGTCCGTTATGGATCTGAGGAGTTGTAGTTTGGATGTTCCCACTCTGACCACTGGGTACACTGGCTCTTGGATCTCTAAGGAGGTGCTAATTTAGCCTCTGCCTGAAGCTACCCAGCAGGAGCTATGGAGAGATCTGCAGATTCCTCTTCTTTGTTTGGGGTTTGGAGGTGCCCAGATGAGGCCCAGCTGTGAAGCAGTGCAAGTTGCTGTGGGGCCTTGGGCCTTCTTTTGGAAGTTCTGGGTCTCTCTGACCCAGCTGCAGTTTGTTAGGTAATTTTCAGATTGCAGAGGGCCAGGCCTTTCATATGCAAAAGCCTCTGTGCACAGCTTGGGTGGGGCGGGGTCTCAGGTGATCAACAGGGCGGAGCAAGCAGCTATGGCTGTTCCTCACTCCTACCCTAAGAGGCCCCACATCTCAGTGTCCCGGTAATTGCTGCAAGCACCTCTGAGAGAAAGCCGCCCTCAAGTTCTGACTGATGCCAGACAGTCCAGTTTCTCCCCGTATGAGTCTGGGTCCCCAGAGACTCACCCAGAACTGGAGTTCAGAGCAGTCGGGAGCTTGAGACTCCCTCCTGATTGGAAAAGACAACCGCGTCCTCAGTTGCCAGCCCTTTCGGTGTGCGCCTCCGTACCTCTGCACTTTACTTCCACACCTCCTCTGAGTCTCAGTGTGCTTTTCTCTTTCCTTCTAGTTGTAGAATTTCTACTCAGCCAGCCTTCCTGTGGTTCTGGATGATGTCTGTTTTGTCTTTTAGTTGTATTTTTGAAGTGGTTGTGCGAGGCAGCAATTTCCGGTGTTTACCTATGCCGCCATCTTGGTTTCTCAAGATTCACTTACATTTTAAAATTGTTTACTTATTGCCTGGTCAGCATGGCTCAGTATTTGAGCATCAACCTTTGAACCAGGAAGTCATGATTCAATTCTCAGTCAGGGCACATGCCAGGGTTGCAGGCTCTATCCCCTGTGGGGGTTATGCAGGAGGTGGCTGATCAATGACTCTCTCTCATCATTTACGATTCTGTCTCTTTCTCCTTCTCCTTTCTTTCTGAAATCAATAAAAACATATTTTTTAAATGTTTACTTACTGATTTTTAGAGAGAAAGAGGAATGGAGAAGGAGAGAGAGAAACATGAATTTGTTGTTGCACTTACTTATGCATTCATTGGTTGCTTCTTATATGTGGCCTGACCAGGGATCGGACCCGCAACCTTGGTGTATCAGGATGATGCTCTACCAGTGGTTGGCAAACTGCAGCTCTCGAGCCACATGCGGCTCTTTGGTCCCTTGAGTGTGACTCTTCCACAAAATACCACTTGCGGGCGCGCATGTACAGTGCGATTGAAACTTCGTGGCCCATGTGCAGAAGTTGGTATTTTGTGGAAGAGCCACACTCAAGGGGCCAAAGAGGAGCATGTGGCTCGCGAGCCACAGTTTGCCAACGACTGCTAACCAATTGAACTACCCCGCCAGGGCAGATTCACTTATATTTTTTTGTTTCTCATACTGTCTTTGTTCAGATTTGATAGCAAGTTACCCTATAAATTATGGAACTTTTTTCTTTTTGTATTCCTTCAAACAATTTGGTTACATATGACATATATGTTGCTTGTAGGTTTAGTAAAACTATTTCTAACACTGTCTAGGTATGGTTATTTATGGAAGTACATTTAGTTTCTTTATAGTTACCAGTTATTTAGATTTTCTTTGTTGTTTTTTTTTCAAGTCAATTTTGGTAATTTGTTTTCTAGGAAATTATGCATATTATCTTTTCAAATTTATTGGCATAAAGTTTCTCTTATTTGCTTATCTCTATTCTGTCTATACTGATATCATTTCTTTATTTCTAATACTATTTTTTTTCCTTGATCAACTATTGCAACATTTTGCAAATTTTTGTAGTCTGTTAAAAAAAAAAGTAATTTTTGGTTTTGTTGATCCTTTCTGTTGTTTCTTTTTTTTTCTGTTCTCTTAATTCCTGTGTTTGTTTTTATTTTGTCTTTTTTTTTTTTGCTTTTATTTGATTCTTCTTTTGGGGTTTTCTGTGTTCTTTGTCCAACTTGTTTTAATTATGTTTTTTAATCTTTTAATACATGCATTTGAAATTAGTTTTTCTTTTTATTAAATATATTTTAATAAAGGAAGGGAGAGGAAGAGAGAGAGAAAAACATCAGTGATGAAAGAGAATCATTGACAGGCTGCCACCTACATGAGCCCCACTGGGGATCGAGTCCGCAACCCGGGCATGTGCCCCGACCAGGAATTGAACTGTGACCTCCTGGTTCCTAGGTTGAAACAACCACAGAGCTACGCTGGCCAGGCTAGCTGCCATACTTTCAATGGTGGATTTTACATTCCTTCTTGTAGGAAGTTTCTTTGGTTTATTTGTATAGGATTTTAGAAGTACCTTTGATGGGTAATTTATTTAAAAATCAGTTTGACTATTAACTAGAAAATGCGAACTAAATAACTAACTAGTACTGTTTTTGAAGGGAGAAACTCAGAAAACATATTTTCTGAGAAGTTAAAGGAAGACAGTATTCCTGCTCCTCGCTCTGTAGGCAGTATTCAAGTCAACTTCACCCCTCGAGTATTCCCAACTGCTCTCCGGGAATCACGAGTAGCAGAAGAAGAGGAGGTAGGTGTACTTGCTGTTAGTACAATGACCACAGTGAAAATTCTTTATTTTTATTTCATCTGTTCGAAACAACTAGTGTGTCTGAAATTCTTAAGTACTTATTAAACTGAAGACATTGCTTCATGAATATATTTTAGTATTTCCTTACGAGAAAAATATATTTTGCAGGATTATTTTTTGGCTCCAGAATGCTGATCAGAAAACACTGATTTAATATGCAGCAGTCTTGCTTATTCCAGGAGATAAACTGTTGCATGTGCCATTTATTTTATCAAATACACCATTTTCTAGAATAGATTTGTAAAGTTTAGATCAGTATATGTTGTGGTAAGAATAGATTTGGAAATTTATTATTAATATATTACATTACAATTAATTATTAATGTCAGGTATTCTAATGTTTGATGCTTTGGAGTTAATATCTTTCATCATTTATAAGTTCCTGAGCATTAAGATTTTAAATATTGTATCTTTAGTTATATAAGCACTAACAACTGCATTTCTTTATGGTAAGGTGTGAACTGATACTTCTTTCAATTGAAAAGTTGTGGAAATAGCTCTACCTAGGTGGCTCAGTTAGTTGGAGCATCATCCCGCACACCAAAAGTATGTGGTTTGATTTTGGTCAGGGCACATACCTAGGTTGTGTGTTTGATCCTTGGTGGAGCACATAAGGAAGGCAGCCGCTTGATGTTTCTCTGTCACAACAGTGTTTTTCTCTTTCTCTCTCTCTCGCTCTCTCTCTCTTCTAGAACTAAAATCAATAGACATGTCTTCAGGTGAGGATGAAGGGGGAAAAAAAGTTGTGCAAGTAATTGAAGATATTTAAGGCATAATAACAATTTATAAATATTAACATTTTTTATTAAACAATATTACTTTTATATTTGCTATTGTTTTATTTTATGGTATTATAAAATATTATTATAATTATAAAGTCTTTTCAATATAGAAAAATAAGAACAAGAAGAGTGAAATAACACATAAACTCCCAAATTTGGATGAAATTTGGACTAGAAAATTTTATACATTTAATCTGAACCAGCTAGTTAACTTTTTTTATTGCATAAAAATTAAAATCACCTTCAAGTACTGTATCAGTCTGCTCCGGCTGCTATAACAAAATACCATAGACTGGGTGTGGCTTAAACAACAGACATTCATTTCATAGTTCTGGAGGCTGGGAAGTCCAAGATCAGGGTGCAGGGGTTGGGTGGTGGAGAGGAAGAACATGAACTCTGGTCTCTTCCTCTTGTATAAGACACTAATCCTATCATTTGGGCCCTACTCTCATTACCCCCCAATGGCTCCATCTCCAGATATCATCACATTGGTGGTTATGACTCTAACATATGAATTTGGGGGGGACACAAACATTCACTCCATAAAAGGTAGTATTTCTGTTTTTGCTTTTTCTTTCTTTTTTTAAATCCTCACCCGAGGATATTTTTTTTCATTGGTTTTTAGAGAGAGTGGAAGAGAGAGGGAAAGACAGAGAGAAATATCTATGTGAGAGAAATACATCAATTGGTTGTCTCCTGCAAAAGCCCAGGCTGGCGAGAAGCCTGCAACTGAGGTATGTGCCCTTGACCGGAATTGAACATAGGACCCTTCGGACACTCTATCCACTGAGCCAAACTGCCTAGGGCTACTATTTCTGTTTTATGTAGGAAGATGGAAAATCTAAAAGATTTCATTCTCATTTCAGTGGCTACACAAACAAGCAGAGGCACAAAGAGCAATGAATACTGATATTCCTGAACTTAGTGATTTAAAAGAAGAAGAAAAGAACCCAGAATGGTTGAAGGATAAAGGAAAGTAAGTTTGGACTCTGGCCATGAGATTTAAAGTAAATTTATGTAGCCATTCATTTTTCTCACATTTCCCAGCTATCTTGACATATATGCTTGTGTGTGTGGCTGTTGGGGAGAGATGACACAAATAAACAAATTAGGTAGGCAGGGCCCTTCATATTAAAAGGTCAAATCAGCCTGGCTGGTTGAGCATTGACCTATGAAGCAGGAGATCATGGTTAGATTCCTGGTCAGGACAAATTCCTAGTCAGATTCCTGCCCAGGTTGTGGGCTCGATCAATGATTCTCTCTCATCATTGATGTTTCTATCTCTCTCCCTTCCTCTCTGAAATCAATAAAAAAAAGATATTTAAAAAAGTCAGATCATATAATAAGTAAGTAAGGCTCTTATTTTTATTTTTTAAATATTTAAATGTTAGAGAAATGAAAAATATCACATCTTTTGGATGGCTTATTAAAATATCTTTTTCATTCACTTACATTTTATATAAGTTCTACCTAATACCTCACTTAAAAACTTGTTTCTTAAAAACTAGAGCTTCTTTGATTATTCATATCCATATTTTAAAAGGTTAGCAAATTATCTTATAAATTATAATTTTATATTCAGGTAATTTTTTTCCCATTTACATATATATGACTCTACATGTGAATATTTTTATACAATTATCAAAAATAGTGAGTTCTGGTACATTCTGAGTGGCAATTTGAATTCATATTTTAAAGTAATAATAGATATTGTTTAATATATCATATATACTTTTGTATTTCCTATTGCTACCATAACAAACTTAGTGGCTGAAAACAATACTAATTTATTATCTTAACAGGTTTTTTTTAAGTTCCTTTTTAAAAAATTTTTTGTTGTTTATTGATTTGAGAGAGAGAAAGAGGGGGAAAAGGGAGAGAGAAACATTTCTTTGTCATTCCATTTATTTATTCACTCATTGGTTGATTCTTGTATGTGCCCTGACTGAGGCAGCCATGACTGGTAGTTTGTAATTACTTCAGTGTTTTTATGTTTTTGTACCATTTTGCCTTACAGTCTTCAATTATGTAGAACAAGAAAGAGAAACAAAATAAGAGGACAAGAAGAGAGTTAAAAATGAGGAGAGATGGAAGAAAACTTAGTAACTAATGACATTCAGAGAAACAGAGCAAAGTACAGTTAATCATAATGCCAAGTGCAAACAGATAAAAGGAAATGTAAGAATTGTTAGAACTGTATCCTCTCTAGCAATGTAATGCAGTGCAGAAGATAGAAGCAGTCATAGTAGAACTGATTCAGAAGCAATGTGTTGAATTTAAGCCAAAGGATGAAATGCTTTCATCTCCAGAGGCTGTGTTTTATGGTAGCCTTCTATATTTACACGGGCAAAAATAGCCCAGCTGTCCTTCCAGTGCTACCCTTTCAGAAAAGGGTACAGGTGGGCACGCCTTTCAAAAGAGCAATAGCTTAAGGAAACTCTTTAGGTCAGCGGTCGCCAACTGATGGTCTGTGGACCACTGGTGATCCGTGAGGTCCGAAAGGTTGGCGGCCGCTGCTTTAGGGGATTATATGTACTCAAAAATAATCTTGTAGAAAAAGCCACAGAGTGTCTTCATTTTCTTTACCTAGACTTCCATTGCTGTGTCTTAGTTTTAAATGTCGAATCTACCTTTCAGGAAAATATATAATCTTAATTTTATTTGCTCACGTAAGCATTTTACCTCTTCCAATTAACATTATGTGCCAAGAAGCCTTTTACTCAGAACATCTCACATAAAACAGAGTCTAGGACTAGGTGCTCTTATTTAGATATGATGCTGTTTAACAGCCTTACGTGACTTAGAGTCTAAATAACTTTAATTGCTACCCTTCCAGACACTTGTAATCATACAAGGTAGATGGACCATTGTTCTGTCCCACTGACATTACTCTGTGCGTGATTTTTATCGGAGGTTTTTTTTTTAACTAACTCTGTCTTAATCTCAGACTTCAAGTCTCTTTTCCCCCCCACAGTAGAATCCCATCTGCATAACTCCCGCTCTACAGCAAATTCCAGTGTTAGATAGGAGGGAATCAAGGAATAATTCTATAATATAGCATCCAGCATCGTGATACTGTTGCTACATAAGATCGCCTACCCTAGTTCTAGTGCCTGAATTTTCTTTTTATTCTCTTGGCCATGTGCCAGATTTTGTATCCTCGCTGATGCTCCAGTCCTTTTTAGAGTGAGGCTCTGCTTTGCTTTTGTTTTCTCTCTTGCCACTCAGGTTAATTCTGCTTCTGAACCCCAACTTTGCATGTAGCAGCCTGCTATTTGCTGACAGACTAAACTAGTACCAACTTGTCTGAATTTCTGTATGACTGCAGTTTCTGAATTTTCTGAATATGGATTTTTACCTTCCTGTCTGGATGTCCTTTTAATTTATGTTGGACTTTTAAGAAATTAAACTTATTGAGGTATCATTGGTTAATAATATTATATCATTTTCAGTTGCACAACATTATAATTTGACATCTGTATACTCTATTGCAGTGGTTCCCAAACTTATTTGGCCTACCGCCCCCTTTCCAGAAAAAATATTACTCAGCACCCCCTGGAAATTAATTTTTTTAAAATTTTAACAGCAATTAAACAGAAAGATATATGTATTAATGTTTCTACCTTTTTCGTAAAATATAGTAAAGAAAGGTGTAAATTAGAAACATTGAAGTTTGAAATTATGAAACTATTTATTGAACTCAGAATAGAAAGGTAATACAAAAAAAGTTAAAACAAATGCACCTGTGGCCATCACCGCCCCCCTGGATCGCTGCAGCGCCCACCAGGGGGCGGTAGCGCCCACTTTGGGAATCACTGCTCTATTGTGTGCTCACCACCCAAAGTCTAGTTTCCCTCATGTTGAACTTTTTGATGCTGATTGTCTGCCACCTGTTACTATCTTCTTCCAACACAGCTTTCGGTTCTACTTGCCAAATTGAATTTCTTTGTAATACTTTGGTTTGGGTCCATGCCTTGGCAAGACAGTAACAAGTTAGCTACCACAGTTTAATGGATGCTGGCGGAAGACAGGAGACTCGTGTGTCAAAGACAAAGGACTTCATTATTCAAGGCATGGCAAGCAGTATGAGCTTCATTCACGTTGGTTCCTTTTGTCCCTCAAGTCTCACAAGGCCAGTGCAGAGGGGGCTGGGTGAATGCTATACACACAGTAGGCTAGCACCACAGCGGAGAAGGCTAAGCTTAGGGAGCACAGTTTTCTATAAGATTGTGAGCAAACCTGTCCAACCTTTGCCTTGCAGGGAGATATTGTCTATATCTTACTGAGCAACAACAAATCTGCTCTTTGCCCCAGAAAGAGACACTATCTTTGTCTTTCAAGGCTGTCTGCTATACAGACATCTTTTGTATGTCCCATACAAAATCTGTCAGTGGATCTGAAATAAGACATGCGGGAGACTCACGGAGAACTGCCTCCCAACAGCCCCTCATACCTGCCTCCGTTTAGCACAGATGGGCCAAATATGCCTTGCTTTGCTGCATTCTAAAGCTCTGTTTGTTTATGATAGTTATGTATGCTGCTACCTTTTGCCTGACTGAAAGATGTTTAGATTTCATATTCTAAGATGACTTCTTTGATGTAATTATAATTCTGTTCAGTTGCTTGTTTATATGCGTTTTACAGCCCATAATATTGTGTTGCAGTGCACCTATTATGGCCTGACTGGTCATTTTGTTTTTATGCCATATCCTTTTCCTCCTTCTACCCTGAGTGCTAAATTGCAGTGGTTGACGTGCCTAAGACACACATATCAGTTTCAGAAGCTCTTGAGATACCCAAGTATATTTTATACCCAGACAAGATGTTGAAGGAGACAAGGCCTTTCAAAGTCCTTTGGGGGACACGTGGGTACTACAGTTCCTATTGCCCACAAAACAAAGCTATTCTGTCTTCTGTTGGAACGTGTTGCTCCCTGCCCCTATTCCAGTTTCTAAGCCCCACTACTTCTGATTTCTCTCTTTTTTCCTTTCATTACTTCCTTCCACTTTGCTTCTTTCTTAACACTCCTGCTTTTGTTGCTTCTCCCACACTCAGCTGTTGTACAGAATGTTTGACACTTCTGGCCATTGCCAGTTAGAATGTTTCTTTCTAAAAATTAGAGGAGTTTGCAATTGTCCATGTCTCTTGAATACAATAGGCGTTCAATATGTATTAAATGGGTGCTTTTGCATAATTCTTTTCATTAGCATTGCCTTATTTAGGGCATCTGGGTAGACTTGATGGTTATTAGCTTCTCTGTTTATGTATTTATTATTTTATTTTTTAAATATATTTTTTATTGATTTTAGAAAGGAAGAGAGAGAGAAAAGGAGAGAAACATCAATGATGAGAGAGAATCATTGATCGGCTGGCTCCTGCACGCCACCTACTGGGGATCAAGTCCACAACCTGGGCATGTGCCCTGACTGAGAATCGAACTGTGACCTCCTGGTTCATAGATCTACACTCAACCACTGAGCCATGTTGACTGGGCATTAGCTTCTCTGTTTAAATTTGGTGTTCAAAGATTATTTTTTAGACAGAGATTTAATTTTTTTTCTCTTGAAACTTGACTATTTCTGAGTTCAGACTGTTTTTGGTTATTTAAAGTAGTATTGAACTTTAAAAAATGTAGCCCTGCCTGGCTTGTGTGCCTCAGTGGTTGAGCATTGACCTATGAACCAGGAGGTCACAGTTCGATTCCTGGTCAGGGCACATGCCCTGGTTGCAGGTTCAGTCTCCAGTAGGAGGTGTGCAGGAGGCAGCAGATCAATGATTCTCTCTCATCATTGATGTTTCTCTCTCTCCCTCTTCCTATCTGAAATAAATTTTAAAAAATGCAAAAATAAATTAAAATAAAAATGAACCAGTGTTTTTTGTTTTTAAATATATTTTATTGATTTTTTACAGAGAGGAAGGGAGAGGGATAGAGAGTTAGAAACATGGATGAGAGAGAAACATCGATCAGCTGCCTCCTGCACATCCCCCACTGGGGATGTGCCCGCAACCAAGGTACATGCCCTTGACCGGAATCGAACCTGGGACCCTTCAGTCTGCAGGCCGACGCTCTATCCACTGAGCCAAACCGGTTAGGGTTGTTTTTTGGTGTGTTTTTTTAAATAAAAGAATGTAGCCCTGGCTGGTGTGGCTCAGTTAGTTGAAGGTCATCCTATGCACCAAAAGGTTGCTGGTTTGATTCCGGATCAGAGAACATGCCCTGGTTTTGGGCTAGATTCCCATTCGGGTGTGTGCAGGAGGCAGCCAATTGATGTTTCTCTCTCATTGGTGTTTCTGTCTTTCTATCCCTCTCCCTTCCTCTCTCTAAAATCAGCCACGGTTTGGGCTGTGTGCTTTCTTCATTTGTACCCAGCAGGGGGAGTTTATCCAATTTTTCATGTTCTAACTTTGAAAACAGTCACAGGCTTCATTCTCTTTTCTTTTAAAAAAAATATTTTTATTGATTTCAGAGAAGAAAAAAAGAGGAAGAGAGAGAGAGAAACATCAATGATGAGAGGGAATCATTTATTGGATGCCTCCTGCATGCCCCACACTAGAGATTGAGCCCGCAACCCAGACATGTGCCCTTGACCGGAATCAAATCTGGGACCCTTCTGTTTGTCTGCAGGCTGATGCTCTATCCACTGAGCCAAACGGGCTAGGGCGACAGGCTTCATTCTGAATAGACCAAGTTAGGTTATAACACCATCCCTGAGTCAATCATTGTAGCAAGGAGGATGGAAATATGTGTATGAACTTGAACTACTTATGTCTACCCTTGGAGGTAGGGGTGAAATAATGCTGATTACATCCTGATGTATGTGGAGTCAGTATAGCCTATAACCTCCATTATACAGGGAATAGAAAAGGAGGTAAGCCATTCCCTTTACCAAATATCATTAGATATTATTTCTGTGTTTCTGTTTCAATATTAATATTGTTTATTTTTGTTTTGTTTTTGTCTCATTAGCAAATTGTTTGCAACAGAAAACTATTTGGCAGCTATTAATGCATACAACTTAGCCATAAGACTAAATACTAAGATTCCACTATTGTATCTGAATCGGGCTGCTTGCCACCTAAAATTAAAAAACTTACACAAGGCCATCGAAGATTCTTCTAAGGTATATATATTTATCTACATATGATACTTTAAAATTGTTATACTCCTATTTATTGGTGTAAATGATGACCTTACCTTTTATGTGTCAAACTTAAATAATTGAGAATTATTTAAATAATAAAGGATTTTAACAATCATCGTGTTTATTACATCTTTTTTTCTGGAAAAAAAATTTATTTATTTATTTATTTTGCATGGACAAGTTTCTTGAGCCTTTAAATTAGATTAGAAATCCCCTATCAATTGCTACTAAACTGCTTTGGTCTATCAGTTGAAATTCACATGGAAATGAGTAAATTGCTATCAGTTTGTGCTCACCCTTTTTCTTATTAAAATTTTGGACACATAATACAAGGTGGAAGGAAAAATACTTGGTATCACTGCCGCTTGCACAGTAAAAGCCTATCTCAATAATTGTTTTCACATTTTCAGAGTAACTTAGTATTTCCTAATTTTCATTACTGATATGTCATTATCTTACACTGCTAGTTTTTTTTCATATCAAAGTAACTTGTTTTAAGGGAAAATCAATGCAAAAATCTCTTATGTGGGTCCTTGAAATTGAGGATATGGAAGAAACGACTAAGTCCTCATACTCTGATCTCATTAAGCTACTGACCATCTGACAATATTTTTTAATCTAGTTTTCCCTTTACTAGAACAATTTTGTACATAAACAAATACTTACTGAATAAATGAATGAACTGAATAATCTAATTTGAATATAAAGAGCCAAAAATGCTACTTAATCATTCTTGCTAGTAAAGATAACGCTTTAGAGATTTCAGATGATGAACCAAATTAAAACTTTGGAGAAGAGGGGTATGAGTCTCATATAGGAACAATTGAACAATTCCTTAAATTGCTCAACATAAATATATGTATTTAATAAATTCCTATAGTAGCTAAGCCAAAAGTTTAGGTGGGTGAGAGCTTGAGGCCTGTTTTTAAAGTTAAAGTTTTTACCATATTTTTGTTTAGATTTGAATTAGAAAGTTATGTTTTCCCCTTATTATTATTATTATTTTGTAAGGCACTAGAATTATTGACACCACCTGTTGCAGACAATGCTAAAGCAAGAATGAAGGCATATGTACGACGTGGAACAGCATTCTGTCAACTAGAATTGTATGTAGAAGGTAAGAAAATGAAAGAGATGTTTCAAGTTTCAAATTATACTCTGGAAAAAAATGTTATTAGGCTTATTTAAGATCATGGCTGTTTAGAACTCCATTATTTTATATTTTTATGACTTTATTTAATCTTTGTAACTTATCTGACAAAAAATTTTTGAAATATTTTAAAAATTGATTCTTATATAAGGGAGTTAGAACAAGATGTGAACAAGTGTAGATCTAGGAAATGCTGTGATATCAACTTTTCCATGAAAAGATGTGTGATATAGGATATAAATGACTCACTTATGATACAATGGAAATTTTAAAATGAGCTTCTTTGGTCACACACATGCATATGCTCAGAAATAACTGATCTACCACAATGTATTATTATTACATATGTTTGTGTGTTTTTTTTTATTGCTAAAAGTATTACAAAGGGTATTACATATGTGTCCTTCCCCCCCCCCCCCACCACCCTTGACAATCCCCTGGCCTCCCTTAACCCCCAGTGTCTTATGTCCATTGGTTATGCTTATATGCATGCATACAAGTCCTTCGGTTGATCTCTTACCCCCCTCCCTCCTGCCCCCCAACCCTCCCTGGCCTTCCCGCTGCAGTTTGACAATCAGTTTGTGTTTTTTGTTTTTTAAATATGGAACATGCTAATCTCTGTATGTTCCAATTTTAGTATGTGTGCTGCCGAAGCAAGCACTTGTTATGTATATATGTATAACACTGTACGAAGGTTTGTAACTAAGCCCTATGTGTACTGAAGCCATCTCACTTATTTAATTGTTATTATTTTACATTTTTAATGTATTTAGGGCTTATTTACAGGTAGCTACTCACGTTGTTCCAAAGGCAAAATATTGTAGTAGCGAGGTTTCATCTTCAGCACTCCTTTTCCCATACCTCCTTCCCAGATGGTTTTTTAGCTTCCCTTCATTCAAGGCCTAATGGACTCTAGCCTTTAAAAGTTTTATTATTTCTATAAAAAACTAAATCTGATATTTGATACCATTTTTATTAATATTGGAATGTTTTGTCTTGAACTTTACTCTTGTAATCAAAGAATAAAGATGTAGTAAAACCTCAAAAAAAAAGTTTTATTATTTCTAAGTTCATCTTTAAACTTATTACTGCCATTTTTAGAAGATTTTTCTAACCAAAGCATCTATATTATGTTTATATGCTAATATAGTGTCTTATCTAGCTTCATGAGGATAAAAAAAATACCAAGACAGGAATGAAACACTATAAAACTATCTTTTCAAATTATAGTAGCATCAGGCTTTTTTGAGCTAAAGATGAGAAAATGAAGGGTTGGAAAAGTTAAGTGATTTGTCTGAAGTAGCATAGCAAATCAATACAGCACTTAGAACTCAAGTTTCCTTCCTCCCAAAGAAATTCTTCCTACCGTTTTATTGGTAATGATTTACCAACCCATCCACAATGCTTTCTTTCTTAACCAATTTTCCTCAAAGGAATTCTGTAGCTATAACTACAGAAAAAAAAAACCCCCACAAACTACAGTTTATGAATTACATAAAGTATGAATTGTCTACCAAAATTATTTTTAGAAATTTAGAATTTCTAAATAAGATGCCATATATTACTTTTTAAAAAAAATCTTCAACCTGAGGATATTTTTTAATTGATTTTAGAGAGAGGAAGGGAGAGAGAGAGAAGCATCAATGTGAGAGAGAATCATTGATCAGATGCCTCCTTACAAGCCCCAACCAGGAATTGAATCCACAACCTCTGGGTGCATGGGATGAAGCTCCAACCAACTAAGCCAACCAGGCCAGGGCTCTTTTTTTTTTTTTTTAATTGATTTTTGAAATAGAGAGGAAGGGAGAGAAAGAGAAAGAAAGGAAGAGAAAGAAGGGAGGGAGGGAAGGAAGGAGGGAAGGAGGGAGGGGAGAAAGTGAGAGAGGGAGAGAGTGAGACTTGTTGTTCCACTTATTTATGCATTCATTGGTTAATTCTTTTATGTGCCCTGATGGGATCAAACCTGAAATCTTGGCTTATTGGGATGACACTCTAACCAACTGAGCTAGCTGGCCATGGCCCATTTATTACTTTTTCATTGAGGCGATAAAAATGTCCTTTCATTAATATATGACTTTTATTGATTCTGTTCATGCTTTAATGAATTTAAGCTTTTAGCTTATTTGTTCTTGAATTTGAAATAACTGCTTCTTACTGAATCCTGAATGAACTCATTATAATTATTCGAAAAATCACTGAAAAATTTCTGTAGTTTGTTAGAGCTACTGCCATGTGTGTGAAGATGTGAATCTGATTTAAAGCCTGGTACTGGTCCTGAACCATATTCTTAGTGGTTATTTGTATTTTTAAAAAATATTGTCTAAGCCCTGGCCGGTGTGGCTCAGTTGGTTGAGCATCATCCTATGCACCAAGAGAGTTTGCCTATTGGATTCCTGATCAGGGCACATGTCCAGGTTTCAGGCATCATCCCCATTAGGCAGTGTGTAGGAGGCAGCCAATTGAGGTTTCTCTCTCATCCATGTTTTTCTCTCCCCCCTTCCTTCCTCTCTCTCTAAAAACATATTTAAAAATATATATTGTCTAGATAATACAAGTATTTATGAAATATTTTCTTGATCATTATTGCTATATAAATATAGGCCTACAGGATTATGAAGCTGCACTTAAGATTGATCCATCCAACAAAATTGTACAAAATGATGCTGAGAAGATTCGGAACATAATTCAAGGAACAGAAGTAAAATCTTAATGACTACTGGAAGCAACTAGGTATTGTAATGAGTTTTGTTTAGAGTTTTTTCAAAATAACTGGAGGCATTGGGAATCTTTGTACATGTTATGGGTAATTGTGCAGAATCACTTTATTTTAGTGCTCTAGTGCTGTTGGAAGGAAAAATATTACAAATTTATTGAAAATAATATGTTTGAGATACATGGTCTCTGATTAAGTAAATCAAAATAATCTATTTCAATTCTTTATCTCTTTATATTAATATATAATTTAATTACATATTTTTGTTACTGAATTCAGCTTGCCCTTATAACCAATAAAATATTTGTTGGTGTGATGATGACCAAGACACTTACTGATTCATTTTTAACAAGGCAAAATTTTAAAATTAGAGATTGTGTTTAAAAAGTATTTTGTCTGTATTAAATATTCTATTTAATTGTCTGAATGGTTGACTTTGGTATAATCAGTACTGATGTTTTTACATAGTTTCCAAGTGCACAGGACCTGTTTTATTTATTTTTCTTATACTCACCTGAGAATATTTTTTCTATTTTAGAGAGTGGAAGGGAGAGGGAGAGACAGAGAGAAACATTGATGTGACAGAGACACATTGATTAGTTGCCTTCCGCATGCCCCTGACCAGGGCCAGGAGCCTGCAATCGAGGTACGTGCCCTTGACCAGAACTGAACCAAGGACCATTTAGTCCGCAGTCTGACACGTTATCCATTGAGCCAAACCAGCTAGGGCTCTTTTTTTTTTTTCCTTTAATGTCTCTACCACCTGTTGTTTGAGGTTGGATCAGTCCAACCTAGTAAAATAGCTATTTGGAATATCTTATTTTCTTCTTTTTTTTTTTTAATATATTTTTTATTGACTTTTTACAGAGAGGAAGGGAGAGAGATAGAGAGTTAGAAACATCGATGAGAGAGAAACATCGATCAGCTGCTTCCTGCACATCTCCTACTGGGGATGTGCCCACAACCCAGGTACATGCCCTTGACCGGAATCGAACCTGGGACCTTTCAGCCCGCAGGCCGACGTTCTATCCACTGAGCCAAACCGGTTTTGGCGGGAATATCTTATTTTCACATTCAAACACTGTCTGGTGAAGATACATTTTCTAGTACTTTCAAGTACCCCAGGGGAAAAAAAGAACAAAAGGTAAAATGTTAAGTTAGAATGTTATGTTATTGGCAGATGTATGTGGCAAATCAAATCATAAAGTTGCTTGGCAAACATGGAATGGGAACGAAGGAGAATTAGTTTGATGAGTGGAATGTTTCATGGCATCATGCATCCAATTCTACGCAACAGGCTTCTTTCCAATAAAGGGCCTCCACCAACTTGAAATACTTAGGCTTATCACAATTGGATGCAAGAAAATAAAGATGGGCTTGGCACTTGTCTAAGACTTTGGCAACTTTGGAAATTCCAAGTGCTAGGCGCTTATGTAGGGGCAGAGAAACTTTTCTCTAGCCTCATGGTTCTTTTGGCTGGTCTAAAAATCAAATAGACACGAGAAAAGGAGGCCTTGGGGACAGGTTCACGGGATTTGTCTGGGACAAATTGCTGCAGCCTATTGCTCTCCTGGTCCCTTCGAGTTTAGGAGAAAAATAGGAGGCGAGGCATGGGTATGCTCCTGGGAGGGAGAGCATGCTGGAACTTCGTTTTGAAGGGTTTTAAAGGCTGAGCATTTAGGGGAGGTGTTATGGGAGGATCTCAATAAAAAATTCATGAGAATGAGGTTTATTCTCTTAACTTCATTTGTCCTTGGGTGTGGTTGGCAAAATGACACTAATTGGATTTCAGCTGTCTTCCTGAGTAGGGTGATTTAAGCTATTTATCCTCTGGTTGGGGAGAAGTGCAGCCCATTTATGTACTCGTAAGTGTCCCTGGTTTAAGGACGATAGGATTTACTGGATGGCTACAAACTGCTGGGCAGCGAGATTTTGTAGATGGCTGCAAACTGCTGTTTAACTATCTCAGTTTCCTCATTCTGCTTGTCCTGGCTTACTAGCCTATTTCATCAGTTTGGTTTTTGTGGTGGCAGGCAGCTGAACCTTGGTTTTGGTTACAGCAACAGCTGATTTTCCTCACATAGTCCCTTCACTTCCTTCAGGGCTGATCAAACCTTATCAGAGATCTTCCTTGACTAACTACCTAAAATAACTTCTTGCCTGAGCACTCCCTCTCTCCTAACCCTATTTATTTTTTTCCATAACACTTAGCACCTGGCATGTTTCATACATATAGTCCTATATACAGATATTTACATGTAAAATATATGTATAAAATATATGAAATAAATGCATACATTACACATAACTATATATATAAAAGGCTAAGCCACCCGGCCGATTGGTATGATGCACACTGACCACCAGGGGGCAGACGCTCAGCACAGGAGCTGCTGAGCTGCAGTGACTTGGCAGCAGTGGTTCTCGGGTGATGCACCCCAAAACCAGAGAAGAGGAAGCCCAATTCCTCCAGGGGCTGCGTGATTCCACCTTCCGCCGTGGGTTACGTTGGTTCTGGGGCACTGTCGGCTCCGAATCTGGTTTACTGCACACTTGTGTTTGAGTTCCACACCCTGTACGACAGCAACTTTGCAGAGTGCCCTCTTGCACTCCAGGACCCCTTGGGGGATGTCAGCTGGTTTCGGCCCAATCCCTGCAGGCCAGGCCGGGGGACCCCACCTGCCGGAGGGACCCCGCTCACTCCACAGACGCCCTTCCAGCCATGGCTCCACCCCAGGTGAGGCCAGCCGGGGAGGGGCTGCAGGAGGTTGGCTCCAGGGCGTGTCAGGCCCTTCTCGCCCAGTCCCACCTCATCGGCCACCTTCTAATTAATTTCCTTTCAATGTGCACGAATCTGTGCCCTGGGCCATTAGTATAGATATATTTACATGTAAATATACATGCATAATTTATAAAATATTTGTCTATATGTATATAAATACATGTTTAACATGTATGTGTTACATATACAGGATGTCCACAAAAATGTATACACACTTTAACAGCTGATAGCTCAATTTTGAAAATGTTTTAATAAACATTGCCTTCATAATTATTCAAGGTGTGAGATACATTTTTGGGGACACCCCATATAAATAAATATTTTAAAATATTTACATTATATATGTATACATGTTTATACATGTTTTTAAATCTGTTTTCCCCTATTAGGACTTACTAGGATCTAAACTTCATGAGGGCAGGCTCTTAGTGCCTAGTAGTCCCTAGACTTTAATAGGCACTGAATGACTACATAATGGCATTCCAGACAGTATGCTCGATTTGGAGATATCCATATGAGAATTTTAGCAATAACAACAAAACAAAAGGCCTACCCACCTGCCACAGTAAAGAACATTAGGCTAATAACTATATATTATATATTAAAAAGTTGACTCCACTTGTTACATCTACAGAGGAGAAAATGGTTTGCATAGTTTAAGTAGAGAAAAGACTAGTACATTCAAATTCTGTTGCATTATTTGTCTGAAAATCTTGTGCAGAGCCTCAATTTAGAGGAAGTGAACAGAACTAATTTCTCTTCTTGCTTGTGCCATTACCAAATAACAAATTTGGGGGTATCTGAAATCATTTCGTGAAGCTGCAGAGTGAATGAGCTCTTTCCTCACATCAAGCCATTTTTGTAAATAGGTGGTCAAGCTTTTCTGATCCCCTAGTGACTCACAAGATTATTCATCCTAACTGATGTTAATATCCTGAGCCTAAAACAAAGAGAAACATAGAAACAGTGACAGTAACAGTTTTTGGTAAAAACAAAAATCCTCTTTGGATTTCTTTCAGTTAGCAAAAACGGGTACTAATGTAGGTCATCTGCAAAAATGAATTGGTGTAATGCAAACTTTCAGAAAGTATTTTAAATAAACATTGCCTTTATAATTATTCAAAGTGTGTTTATATATATTTTGGGACACCCCATATAAACATAAATATTTTAGAATATTTTATTCCCCAATGCCCCCTTTCTCTGACTTCCCAGTAAGCCAAAGCAGGCCAGTCTAGGTCAATTCCCCACCTAGTCCCTCTCCCGTTGCTTCTTCTATCCTAGGCCCTTCCTTGTTTCACTGACCCAGCTTTAATAAATGTCCTCTAAAAACCACCTGGACTCATACTATGAAATCTTTCCTGCACGAAGTCAAGAACCCACACACTACCAGTGGCCCTAGGTAGACCTGATCAGGGCCAGGCCCTTTCCTGGTAACAAAACAACAAAAGTAACATACATAAATGTCTTTTTTTTTATAGTATGTATATTTACATAGTATAGTGTCTACCATAAGTAGGGGTTCAATAACTACTTGCTGGCTTGGCCAGTGTGGCTCAGTGGTTGAGCATTGACCTATGATCCAGGAGGTCACAATTTGATTCCCAGTCAGGGCACTTGCCCAGGTTGCAGCTTGATCCCCAGTGCGGGGTGTAGGAGGCAGCCCATCAATGAGTCTCTCTCATCATTGATGTTTCTCTCTCTCCCTTCCTCTCTGAAATCAATTTAAAAATAATTACTTGGTGAATGAATGAATGAATAACAAGTCCTCTCACCCTATCAGGGTAGCTCAGTTGGTTAGATTGTCATCCCGATCCACCAAGGTTGTGAGTTCAATCTCCAGTCAGGGCCCATACAAGAAGCAACCAGTGAATATATAAATAAGTGCAACAACAAATTGATGTTTCTCTCTCTAATCAATTTTTAAAAATGGGAAAAAAAAATGTCCTCTCTTCCATGAGCCTAGCAGAGGGAATTAACATTTCCCCAGGTTCTAAGCCATTACTTGAAATAACACACAAGTGGGAAATTACTGGTCAGATTCTTCCTTAATTCAATCTTTTTCTTAGAGCGCCTATGTTCCTTTGTCTTGATAAATATATCCAGTAGACAACTGAGATCATGAAAGTTTTTTTTAAGATTGTGGAATACATGAACTAAATAAAGCTAAGATGTACAAAAATGCTTCTACCTTTTATTCTGCTATTCTAACACATTTTTAAGAAGTCAATGTCACTCAGTTATCAGTTGAAATACTTTATTTCTTACAAATATTTTTTAAAATTAAAATCTTTCCATATTCCCAATTAGGTATTCTAGCCTTAGACTTAAAACTCATTTTTTTTTCTGAGTATATTTTCTGTTAAATATACAAAAGAATATATTTTCATTGATTATGTTGAAAATTATGAAAATTATAGGTTCTGGTTCTGTCAGGTGCCGTATTTAGAGTGTTATTTTGATAAAATCCCGTAGCTCTGATATGCCTTGAAAATTCTTGCTCTTTTGGAGTATAAATGCAGGGGAAAAACTGTGGCGTAGGTATACATTCACCATAAGTACTTGAATTGGTTTTATACATAATCATCTTAGGCTCTGATAGTGAGGTAGCTGTAAGGAGTGTTTTTGGATCCAACATACATGAAAACACAGGATTGCCAGGGTTCACACAAGTAGGCAGTTGTTGAGGTTTCATTTCTGTGTCTGAAGTTGAAAGTAAAGTACTTTTTTTATCCTAAAATATAAACACATCAAATCATTCTCAATTATAAAGTTGTTGGTGGGGGGAAACCCCAAAACTATTAAACTTAGCCCCAGCCCTAATTTTAATACCACTCATAAAAATTAACTCAAAATGAAGACTTAAATGTAAGGCCTGAAACTGCAAAACTCTAGGGAAAAAGTAGGAAAAAAACTCATTAGTCTTCACAACAGTTTTTTGGATGTCACACCAAAAGCACAAGTAACACATGCAGAAATAAACAAGTGGGACTATATCAAACCAAAAAGTCTGTACACAGCATAGGAAACCATGAACAGAATGAGACAACAACTTAAACAATGGGACAAAATGTCTGCAAACTATATATCCGATAAGAGGTTAATATTAAAAAATATACAAGGAACTCATATAATTCGAAAGCAAAAACCCCACACCAAACAATGGTCTGATTAAAAAATGGACAGAAGAGATCCAAAATGGCAGCAGAGTAAGTGGAAGCTACACGGACACTCTCCCAGGACCAAACTGGAAATACAACTAAAATACAGAAAAACCAGCCCCCCAAATCAACTGAAGACTAGCTGGAGAGAACCTTGATAACCAAGGAGGGAAAGTGGAGACTGCATAGAGACTGGTAGGAAATGCGGAGGCATGAAAGGGCTGGCCGGGCTCCCAGGGACAGTAGCTGAAGTGCAGGAAGTATATCTCAACTGTGGGGGGTTCCCACTGAGAACTCTGGAGTCTAAACCCCAAGCTTGGCTCCCCAGCCCAGAGCACCAGAACTGAGAAAGGTGCCCACATAATATCTGGCTGTGAAAAGCAGCAGGTTTGCTGCCTGCCAGGGAGAGATGGCTTGAAATTCACACACCCTCTTAAAGGGTCAATGCACAAAATTTTATGTGCAGCCACTCACCTTGGGCCTGGCAGAGGGAGCACAGAGTGGACTGGAGGTGTGTGAGTAGAGTCCAGGGTTGGGGGCTCTGGGTTTGGAGCTTAGAGGGCAGCCACCTTGGTTTCATGTGCTGAGTCATTCACTCATGCTGCTGAGGACATCTTTCTCTGGCAGTACTTTCCTATCCAAGTGGTTTTTGCCTAGGGGAAGGCAGTTGCCCCACCCTGTTGGAAGACTTCTCACCCAACCCCGTGGTCAATAGCCTGAGGTTAATCAGTGTCAATCCCACTGCAGGTAGAAGTGGATCTCTGGAGGCTTTGAGTCTTTGCCTGGTCTCCTTCTGGGCCTGGGGTTAGATAAAGCAGACCCTGGTGCACATCTTGGTCTTTCCAAAGGCACCCAGCCCCAGCAGAGGAAGACACGAGTTGTGGATTGCTGAGAGCTCCTAACAGGGTACTTAGGGTCAGTCACAAACAGCTTCTGACATTGTCCTGCACTAGAGATTTGGAGTTGTAGCCGATCTACCTAATACACAGACACAAACCCAAACAGGCAGCCAAAGTGGTGAGACAAAAAAAGCCCTAAATGCAAGAGAATTCTCCAGAAGAGCTAAATGAAATGGAAATAAGAAACTGATCAGATATAGAGTTCAGAATAATGATGGCAAGTATGCTCAACAGCATGAGAAAAGACATAGTAATTATTAAAAAAGACCAGTCTGAAATGAAGAATGACATAACGCTAATAAAGAACACATTGGAAGGAATACACAGCCAATTAGGGGAAGCCAAGGATTGAATCAGTGAATTAGAAGACAGGGTAGAAGAAAATCACTCCATCAGAGAACCAAAAAGAAAAAACAGGACAGCTTAAGGAAGCTGTGAGACAACATAAAACGTAACAATATTCGCATCATAGGAGTGCCAGAAGGGGAATAAAGTGAGCAAAGGATAGAGAACTTGTTAGAAGTAATAATGGCAGAACTCTTCCCTAACCTGGTGAAGGAAAAAGTCATACAAGTTCAGGAGGCACATAGAGTCTCAAGCAAGAAGAATCCAAACAGGCCCATGCCCAAACATATAATAAAAATGCCAAAAATTAAAGAAACCATCAACAAAATGAAAATGGAGCCAACTGTATGGGAGAACATACTTGGCAATTATACATCTGATAAAGGATCAATATCCAAAATATATAAGGAACTCACTACAGCAGATTGTGATTCATGAAACTGAGACCCTTTTAAGACTTCTAAATCCTTAAAATTAGCAAGCATATAATCTGCTTCTTTAACTCTAAAAGGAGATAAAAATGTTTATAGAGCTGTTCTGTCAAACTAATGTGAGGACAAAGCCTTTTCTGAGTTGCATACTTGGATCAGATTAGTTAGGTTCCTCTTAGTGTAACCCAACTCACCCTGAATTCCTGGGTAATCTATAATAATAAAAGTGTAATATGCTAATTAGACTGGACATCCTTCCAGATGAAGCTGCGGTGGCAGGGGCCGAGGCAGAGGCCCCCAGCCACAGCAGTGGTGGGGGCCAAGCCCCTTGCACGAATTTCGTGCATTGGGCCTCTAGGTCTATATAATGTCTCAGCAAAGTTAAATTTACTAATGTTCAGAACCTATTAGTTGTAAAAGCTTGAGTTCAAATCTGCAAATGTGAAGTATTTAGTACACTTTCTTTTTCTTTTCCTTTGTTCAGATTTAAATGATTATCAACCTATGATCCAACCCTTCATCATTATCATTTCCCTTTTGTATATCATATGTAAAATTGGTTTTCAAAAGCTGCCTTAGTCTGTGCTTATGAAGATATATATACTGAAAGAAAATTGGATGTAAAGATAAATTGCTATGTAAAATGGAATCATTTTTTATCATTTTCTTTTTTGCACGTTTACCTCAATGCTTTTGTATGCTCTTCCAGAATTCAGTTCTGAAATTTACAGGTTAACAACACTACATTAGTATGCTACAATCTATAAATATAAAAGGCTAATATGCAAAGTGTCCCCTCGGGAGTTCGATCGATCGCTATGATGTGTGCTGACCACCAGGGGGTGGCATAGAATGAAGGAAGGCACCAGCCGGCAGCCAGCAGCTGGGGAAGGGAGGCCCCAGCTGGCAGCCAGAAGGCCCCGATCGTCCCTGATCGCCAGCCAGGCCTAGGGACCCTACCTATGCAAAAATTCGTGCACCAGGCCTTTAGTTTACTAATATTCAGTTCATACTCATATATCTTATGGGAAGCTGGCAAAATTAGAAATAGAACTCATCAGATCTTGCTATGTATTCTTTTTGATGCTGCCTATTAATTTTTTTTAAATATCAAGAGCACAGACATTGGATGATAATAAACTCCCAGCATCCTATGGAGTATCAACAGGACAGCTTTTCTCAAAATGTCTAGGTTACCTCTGCACAGGGAAAGCCTCTTAGGTGGAAGGTGACTGCCCTGTGATTTGTGGGGAAAAGTACCAACTCTAATTTATGGACACCCAGTCAGTTTGCCCAGAAGAACCTCTTTCACAGAGGACTCTCATCAAATCACCCTCTACTTCTGGTTCTAAATTTTGATCAGCTTTGGTGCAAAATGTAATACAGAAAACCAAATCTAGTTAAAATAGAGGATAAGTTAGCTGATAAACTTTGTGTCTACCTAAATCTTTTAGACCTCCAGGATAATTCACAAATGTTTATAGACTTAGAAACAAAATACACACTACTTTTACTTTTTTGTCATAGGCCCTCACTGCAGCTTTCTTATTTGGGTTTCACCCTCCTCAAATCTCATATTCTTAAAATGTGGAGTTCAAACTGTATACAGTTTAAAATAAAACTAAACAAAATAGTCTAATACAGTGATGGCGAACCTATGACACACGTGTCAGAGATGACACGCGAACTCATTTTTTTGGTTGATTTTTCTTTGTTAAATGGCATTTAAATATATAAAATAAATGTCAAAAATATGTCTTTGTTTTACTATGGTTGCAAATATCAAAAAATTTCTATATGTGACACGGCACCAGAGTTAAGTTAGGTTTTTTCAAAATGCTGAAACGCCGAGCTCAAAAGGTTCGCCATCACTAGTCTAATACAAAGAATAATAAAATGATTATTTTAAGTTCTCTGTCAGTTATGCATGGGGTCAGCAACTGTTTTTTACTTAAGGATAAAAAGGTAAATTAAAATTGTAAATGATTATTTTAAAATTGACTATGTCGTAGAATTGGCTTGGGAAAGAATACAATCCTACAAATAGATGATAGTAGCTTTCTTACTAATTTAATTTCTAAGGCTTTCCTAGAATTAGAAAAAGCCTGGCCACTTTAATTTCTCAAAGTCCTTCAGTATAAACACATATTAAAAAATATAGAAGCCATTGAAATAACAAAAATATTTCTTAGCCTTAGCTGGTTTTGCTCAGTGGATAGAGCAATGTCAGGGCCCTGGTTTGATTAGGGTCAAGGACACATGCCCGGGCTGCAGGCCTATCCCCAGAAGGGGGCGTGCAGGAGGCAGCCTATCAATGATTCTCTCTCATCATTGATGTTTCTATCTTCCTCTCCCTTCCTCTCTCTTAAATCAATAAAAGTATATTTTTAAAAAATATTTCTTAGAGAAGCTGTAATTATAAAATTATTTTTTTTTCTTTTTTGGTGTCACAGTTGATGTTAACTATAGTAACGTCCAAAGCAAAAACACACACAAAAGTGTAAGTTTGAGACACCTTTTGTTTCTGTTGAGGCCCACCATCTTGCTTGTTAATGTTTTTCTTAACTTTTTTATTCCTTCCACAATTGGGGGACAGTTAAAGCTTAGCTTTCTAGTTTCCATCAACAGTATGAGTGCACCTACCTTTTGTAGCTCGTATTTGAGCAAGGTACAATGTAAATAAATGAAAAATGAACAAGGTACATTTTTTGTTGTTGTTCAAAGCCATCACCTCATGGTTCGCCATACGGTACGAGTTGCATACCATCCCCAATCATCTTTATACCTTTAGAGCAATTCTGGCTTAATTCAACATTGCACATTTGCATCTGTGTAGCTCAGTGGCTGCCTAGAAAGGTGTTGTTTGTTGTTGTTGTATTGTGGGGTTTTTTTTGTTTGTTTTTTTAGGATGGTGCCCCAAATTTAAAGCAAAGTAGACGAACATTCAAAAACATCTAGCCCTCTGTCCAAACCCACTCAGCCATACCCGGTCATTCTCCATATCTTTCTTTTTTCGTCAAAGGCAGTCTTTTTCTTCAGCGGATGACGAGGCGGCCAAAGGATGCGGCTTTTTATGTACAGCCAATTAAAGCCTGAAAGAGAAGGGAAAACATGGGCTGGATCAAAATCCCGGGCAGTCCTCAGGGTTGGAACCATGAATCCTTTGGAGCGATTGTAGCAGCCCGTCTCCATAGCAACCTTCCGCGGCGCCTCTCCGCCTTTAGAGCGCCCGGGCCCGGATGTTATGAGACTCGTGGCTTCCCGCCGCCTCCCCGCGGCGGGCTGCGCTGCTCTTCGGGAGTCGTAGTTCTTCCCTCCGCTGCCGCCCGACGCAAGGCGCGGGGCGAGACTACGAGTCCCAGCATGCACTGCGGCGCTCCGCCGGCCGCCTCCTCTCGGGAGCGGACGCCTGCGAGCAGGTTGTTGTTTTTATTAGAGGCGTCACTGGGCTCGGAGCTGTGACCAACGCCACCGCAACAGCCGGCACTTTGGGGCGGAGGTGGCGCTGCCCCTTCAGGTACGGCCCGGGGTGGGTTTGGGCCCCAGGAGAGGAGTCGCGGCCACCTGTCGGGGCCTTGGCTAGCACCCGCGGCTCATACGCCTGGCGGAGGCATTCGCGCGGTCTCCTCTGAGGCTGAGCTCGGAGTTCGACTCCTGCCGCCTGGTGCGTGTGGCCGCACCGGTGGCCTCGGAACCGGAGTCTGCAAAGAGCCGGTGTCGGTTCCTGAGGCGTCGGGTCTGGTGGTCCTGCAGCCTCCGACTGCCACGTGCAGACCCCAGCGCTGCGCTCAAGGTGCGGGGGATGCGTGCGGCTCGGGGACCCTCCTTCCTCCCCTGGGCTGGCTCGGGTGAGAATCCATATGGTGAGATGTTACGTGCGTCACCCTGCCGGGTTTTCAGCCGGCCCATCTTTTTTTGGTGACGTTTGAGCCCCGTGATGCCAGGAATAGAAAAATTAAATATTAAATAGTGCAGGTGAGATTTCTGCTCGTACACCAGGCGCTCCATATCCGTGTCCTCCTCCAGCGGCCCCCTTTAGCGTCGGCCTTCCAATCGAGAAATCTGCTGGATTAGCTCTCCATAGAGAGCTTCGCAAACCTTACATGCTTCCCTTGTTTGATGAATCCAACTCTGCCAGTGGGAGTGCCAGTTTTAACGAACTCAGTCCATTAAGGTACTTGGTTGCGGGGATGAAATTTACACTGCTTTTCTCTAGCTTTATTGAAAAAACGGAATGGAGTTTTCTTGTAGCTAGAACGGGTATTACGAATTTTAGGAGACTTGCATTTTCCAGTAAGGTCGCATCCTTTGGATAGTGCTTGAAATGTCACTATTAGCCCATCATATCCTTTGGCTTAAGGTTTTAATATTGTTAGGCTCCAAATTTTCGGTGATATTTATCACACCATCCTAGTGTGAATGGTTTATTCTTTCCTGAGCTCTGAGCCTAAAAGGGAAGGGAAAGAGAAAGTGTGTGGGTGGGGTGGGGGAGGGTGTAGGTATTTTTTATTTTTAAATTAATTTATTACCTATTATAACTTGAAGTTAACAGAATTCTAATTCTTTTTTTAAAAAAATAGGTTTCTATTGAAACATCAGTGATGAGAAAGAATCATTGATCTGCTATCTCCTGCACACCCCCTACTGGGGATGGAGCCTGCAACCCTGGCATGTGCACAGATTGGCATCTAACCATGACCTCCTGCTTCATGGGGCCATGCTCAACCAGTGAGCCACATTGGCCCGGAAGGGGGGTATTCTTTTAAAACATAAATTTAACCCTTTACCTACGGATGGGATTCGAATGAAAGAAGCTGTTAAAATCATTCTTAAATGTGCGAAATAGTAATTTTTAAGTAAAATAGGTTAGAGAATAGTGTGATTCTAATTTTGTAAACTACATAGAATGTAGAGTAATTATATGCCTTGAAATGTCAATGTAAGAAACGTTTAAACCTGTAGAGTTTTTATGAGTTTATTTGAGCCAAATTGAGACAGTTGCTGGGAAGCAAAATCTCAGTGGATTGAGAAAATGCTCCAGAGAATAGCAGCTTTGCACCTTACTTTATACATTCTAATCAAAGAGGAGGAATAAGGATTACATGAAATCCATTGATAATAGAGTATTAGGAAAGTGGGAGAAAGCAAAGCAGGGAAATCTCTGGGATTAGATAAAGAGTAAAATAAATAGACACATAATTTTACATTTGTGGATATAGGATAATTAGCACTTAACAACACGGTAACAATAACAATGAGGATTTTTGTGGTCTCTGCTCTGATGCAGTGAGGGTTCCGGTAAAAGGAAATTTCCAGAAATTGCAAAGGTATGTTATGACCAAAGACCTCCCCTTTAATATGTGGTCCCTTTTTGGTCCACAGAAATAAGACTGAAAGGATAGTTTTAATTATAAAAGTGAAATTACAAATAATTTTTTATTTTTATTTTAAAATATATTTTACTGATTTCAGAGAGAAAGAATTGATTTTATTGATTTTATTGATTTCAGAGAGAGAAACATCAATGATGAGAGAGAATCATTGATCAGCTGCCTCCTGCATGCCCCACAGTAGAGATTGAGTCTGCAACCCCGGCATGTGCCCTGACCAGGAATTAAACCATGACCCTGGTTCATAGATCAGGCTCAACTACTGAGCCATGCTGGTCTGGCACAAATAATTTTTTCTTTATACTTTCTGGTATTTCCCAAATTTTCTATAGAAAAAAAACTTAATTTAAAAATGGAGATAGGTGTAGCATTTCTAGTTATAAAGACTCTTTAAACATTACTTAAAGAAGCAAATAAGTCACAATGAAAAATGTAACTCTTGAAAGGGACAAGAGTTCATTAGTTGGACTAGAAAGGTAAAAAACAAACAAACAACCATGACAATAATTCTTAGTATTTGTACATCTCATCTGATTTTGCTCTGTTTTCTTTTCACTTAATACAGTAAAATCAAAGAAAAATGTGCTAAGCCTTTCTTCAATTAAGGCAGTGAAATCTTGATTATTTTAATAAATCCATCAGGTGATAAAATATGGAGATACTAATCTGAAAATATATCCAGATCTGGATATAAGAAATCTATCATTTGTTATTTTGTAAGCACTTGACAGTGGAAATGTTAAGCAATTATTATAAAATGGGAATTTTAAATTTGTTTTCATTGAATCACTTTGAGTACTATGTTTGATATTTTGAATTTATGTTAATTTTTGTTTCCTATTATGGGTATGTTAGATATGGTAGGTAAGTAGCATATTATTAAGCCTACATTTTGTTGTGTGTTTTTTTTTACATACAGGAAGGGCCATATTGTTCTGTAGGAACAGTTGATGTATTTTTGTAATTATCAGCCTTGAAAAATTGGGGTTTACCTTTTTGCCATTTTACTGTGTTGGCTCAATATCTTAATAGATACATGGGTCCATTTACAGGACATAAGAATATGTATAGTTAACATGTTTGATTTATGAACTGTTCACAAGTATTGTGGTTCAGGTTGTATAATTGTATACTTATCCAAGTTAAATAAGATTTCTAAAAATTAAGTGAACTGCTAAGATCATAGAAGTAGCAGTTTCTGAGCATGTAAAGAATGTGGACACAGCAGCAAGGCCTGTAAGCCCAGGGTGTTTTAAAACAGAAAATGCAGACTCATCTAACACTGCGGAACTACTAGAGGCTGGATTGTTTTTGTGTTGGTGTGTGGTTAAGGTGAGGAAGTTGCCAATTGTAAGTGATAATTTACATTTTCAAGAATTGTCTTCCTGGCAGTTATGCAATTTTGACTAGATTAAAACAGCTAAAAAATATAAGTCAGCTTCAAAGATCATGTCCAATAAACTTGAAAAAAATATCTCAAATTGAGTTCTAAAATGAAATTTAGCTCTGTAATATGGGGAGGATTACAGCTAACTGAGGAATTTTTATTTTAAGGGCATTTAATGTGTGGAAACCTGTTTAAAGGTCTGTAGAGTTTTCTGAAGGAAGTATTAGGAAATGAGTTAAGTAAGTAAAAGAATTTCCTCTGTCATCCCGGGAAGTCAAAATCTAATTTTTTATTAGTACTTGTCTATAAATTACTATCCTGAAACCTTACTTCTGGTTCATATTGCCAGTGCGATGGAATGTAAAAAAAATTGGATTGGGAGTCAGATGTTTAATTATGTTTTGCAAGTACTACAATGTTATGGGTCCCTGTTGTTTCTATTTGTGTTGTAAATAATAGCCAATTGCTTTACTTCATGGGGTATTGGTGAAGATCAATCAGATATGAAAATGCTACCACTTTGTAAGAGTGACTCATGCATGCGAAGTATTATTGGCCTGCTAGCATTTACATAAAACATACATATTTGAAGTGTGATGACTCAATGTAATATATACTTTTTTGACTGGGAAGTTTGGAGAAAAGTCAAAGGTGATCTTTATTTGATATTTCTGGTAGAGCTGTTTGGCTTTTTTTTTTTGGATTGAAGGAAACCTGGCTCCTCTCCTGATTGTGACTTTGCATTCTGCTGCCTTAAAGGTCCTGAAACTGAAGTGTGCTTTTATGGTTGTGCTTTTAATTTGGGGTTTGATTTGTTTTAATCGCACATCTAAAGTATAAGGAAGATAAGTCTAACTTAACAGAAGAAAGTAGATGTTGTTTTTAATATTTTAAAATAGCACTTTAAGTTGAACTGGTCCTCTGAGAGAGATAAATTGTATGTGTAAGCACTGGTCTTCCAGTGCAAGAAATAGTTTAGGCCCTAGCCGGTTTGGCCCAGTGGATAGAGGGTGGGCCCAGAGGACTAAAGGGTCCCAGGTCCCATTCTAGTCAAGGGCACATGTACCTTGGTTGCAGACTCTGGTGGAGGGCGCGTCTGGGAGGCAACCAGTTAACGTCTCTCTCTTACATCCATGTTTCTCCCTCTGTGTCTCTCCCCCTCCATTCCACTCTCGAAAACTCAATGGAAGAATATCTTTAGGTGAGGATTAAAAAATAAAATAAATAGTTTAGAACTTAGATGCCTCCTTCTGGGGAAGTCAGTTTTGCCTCTTAGAGCAAGATTCACATATTGTATAAAGCATAAGGTCTTTTAGAAACTTGTCAATAAATTCTGAGGACTTATGAGAATAAATATAAGTAAATAGAGTAAAAGCAAAAAAATAGGTTATTTATTATGGGTTGCTAAAACTGCTTATTTGATTAGTTAATAATGCAAATA